TTGAGTCATGCATGCTGCCAGGAGGGCCAAGCACATAGTCAATGATCCGAAGGTTTGGCAGTGTCACAAGCTAGAAAATCCATCAGCACCAGTAATTCACACTAAGAATTGCACGCACCGAAAGACTAAGAGAATAGTTGGACTTACGATCAAAGAATTGCTCCCCAAAGTGCCCAGGTTTCGATGCAAGAGGAATCAGTGTGCCATCAACCATGCAAAAACCTGGCCTCCAGGCTCGGCATGACACACTCTCTACCCAATCTGATGCTTCTCGCTTTTCGTCTACATTTGGCCATCGAATGGCCTGGTTGTGAAGTGGTAAAAAGGCGATAACGACGCGATGTGTGGCCTTCACAACAGTCCCAGCACTACAACCTGCCCACTGTGCAATCGCATCAACAGATGCAGCACTGCCGAAATGACCAAACCGAAATAGGGCAATGGCAAGCTGCTGTGCAATAGGCCATTGGTTATTTTGAGAGTCGTTATAAAAGCAGGGGTGATCTCGAATAAGAGTGAGGAGAATGTTGAATGTACAAGGTGAGATGCAGAGGTTTTGACGAAAGCACACATGGTCATCCTCTTTATAACACCTAAGAACAAGCCCTAGCTGGCTGCATTTTGAGACATCATGTGGGAATAGGACACGGATGGAAAGGAGAGTGGAAAGGAAGTGTCGAACACGGAACAAAGACTGGAAATATGAGCAGCGGAGAGTTTGCAGTGCTTGGTCACATTCCGCATTAGAAGATGCGACAGATAGGCAACAGGAGCTGTTGTTGCTGCTGTTGTTGTTGCTGCTGTTGTTGCTGCTGCTGTCGCTGCTGCTGCTGTCACTGCTGCTGCTGCTGGATAAGGAGTCTACACTGGCACTGTGTCCATCGCTAGGGTCATAAGAGTCATCACTAGAATTCGAAAAATTGCTGGATCTGAGATGTCGGCATTGATGATAGTAATGGGCACGTAGTCGGAGGGCATGCTGGGTGGCAGCATGTATGAGACGCTGGCGGTCAGACACAACAGGCATCAGAACTGTGGAGTTATTACATAATACAGTGCAAGGTGATGAGTGACGGACTTATGGAAATCGGGTCCGAGCAACTTTAGACACAGTTTAGAAGCGGTGTGACTGTGAACGCCCGACCTGATGTTCTAAACTCAACCTGAACTCACTCTGAACTCATGTCCCACGTGAGGCGAAACTCGGGCCAATCTGGATGCAATTTAGAATCAGTTTGGGCCCAATTTAACTAACTGTGAACGGCCCTAATGAAGCACACTTACTTAAGTTGCTAAAAACCTGGTACGGGATTGAAAAAAGTCTAAAGAACGTAGTCTTGGACAGCTACGGATGGAAGGAGCCCAGTTGTACGGAGATCGAGTCTAATTAGGACAACATCAACCAAGTGGCCTTCGTAACTCACTTGAAATTCTCCAGCCTCAAAGAATATCAGTAAAGCTGCTTCGGGTCTTCGTCCGTCCGGGTTTCCGTTAGTGCAGCTTAACGAAGTGCGTGAAGAGTGCAGACCCTGCCACATCGTCCTCACAGAACGTGCACGGACGTCCAAGAGACAGGTTATGGCGGAGCCAATGGCTCAGAGTCACAGCGAGATGCCCGAGCCACCGAGTGTTCAACAAACGGCAAACCTTAATGAGATAATGTAGTCGTCGCAAGTCCTGAGTACGCGTGGCTGCGATATCAATCACTGAGGTCGGGAAGCTGATATATAGTGGCTACCTGTCCGCGTCTAATTGGAGAGATTAGCACCGATAGCCTCCATTTCAGTGAAACGCCAGCTCCCATCCCGTAACACGGCCCGACGTTCCTCACGGAGGAGTGACGACTCACCACCCCTCACTCCCACTGCATCAAAACCCAGTAGATCACTCACCTCTTTCAAAACCGCTCAAATTCGCTCCCCGCTCCCGATGTCTGGGGTCCAGACGATTGCACGAACCTCTCCAGAGCGACTCGGGTCCACTTCTGGTGGCTGCCAGTCCACCAAACCTCAGAAACCAAGTGGCTACTATACGCTTGTACGCAAACTAGCAGTTTGAAACTTGTGAACTTTCAAAAATCGCGACCTTCACCCGTACTGGGTTATGTGCGAAGAAATCCCCAATATTCAACCAGTAAACCACACTTCCCTCAAATCAGCCAGCTTCAACAACAACTGGCGACCCTCGTAGGGATCGTTCGAGAAGGGCGAGCTCATTGAATGAGTTCTACGCAGGTGTATCGTGATGCCACTGGCAGTTGTCGATTCCTTGTCGCATCCAGATCCGGCAGCCAGTCGATGACTTGCAATAAAGGACGACGAAAGCCTGAGCAACAAAAGTGTGGAAGGTTCCACTCACGAGTTAGGCGAAGATGAAGACAGACGCAGGATTACTCCTATTCCGACTGGGATACCGATAGCCATAAGAACAGCCGCCCTACAGCATGATACTGACATTTTTCAGTCACCCTGGACGAAGAGGTCCGCGCAAGGAACCCTTTTTGTGGGGTTTGGCGTCACACGAAGGGCCCATCCTCATGGAGACCCAGCAGTCGTTTGTGATATGTCCAGTGCCACCGGACAATCTGTTAACAAAAATTGTATTAGGAGACATTGGTGTATTTCTTGTGATGCCTCTTGAAACGTCGTTTCCTCACGAATAAAAGGCGATCAGTCATAGACTTGGCACCAATAACAAGAGAACGAAATCAGTCAGGTCCGAAACTCTCCCGAGGTGGAGAGGCTGCATTTTAACGTGTCCCTGCACTATCACAGTCCCAAACCCATGCGACCCGGAGCCCCCCCTCAGGTAATCGGAACCCAGTAAATCCTCGCGGACCAGGTCCCCGCCTCCGGCGCTGGGTGTCCTGCGACACGCAACACCGACCGGTTCTGACCAAGGGCCAAATGGAAGAGTTGCCACCAATTTGGTGATTTTGGTCGGACCACCCTCTCACTTTCTGACCCAAGGAATGTCAGACCGCCAGAGGGAGGTATTTTCAACGCAACCTGGATATGTGCACCCAAGATGATGCTCTCACACAGAGTGGCTCTGACCCTCAGCCAAATTCACCAGGAAGCCTGCGAGCGAATTGAGTTTGTGCCTCCCACAGTGTAGGCAGGTGACCAGCCTCTCTTTAGCGGGGCCATAGTGCCAATCCAGCTTTGCTTGGTGCAACCGATCTATGGCAAGGAATAAGTGACATGCTTCTGCCATGTCCTCCGCATACCATCCGGAGGGTCGAATTCTGACCGGCGCGGCTCGGTATTGTTGTTGTACTCTATTTTCGTGACGCTAACCCCACTACAATCTACATTATATTATTGACTTTACATGTAGGGATCATCAGGGCGGAAAATGGCGGGTGGGCAATGTCAGGCCAACGTGTGGTTCTAGGGTTTGTGGTGTCAGGGGGTGAGAACTAAAAGGACAAATAGACAAATAGAAATAAGGGATGGAGGTCCAATTACAGGCTGTCTCTCGTTAAGACTTCAACAGTTGTGAGTCCTGTGGTCTTTCCCATGCTTGCTTCCGATGGATTGGGTGCGTCTTGCAATGTACCTGGCAGTTGCGGCTAGTTGATGGGTGGTCCTGACTGCAGTTAATGTGTTTTAGTGGGCGTGCAGAATTTCTTGGGATATCGACGTACGCTGTGAACCGACTCAACGAAGTCGAACGTGTTACCTCTCTTGGTAAACTCACCACCATGCTTGTGCGCTATTCAAACCGCCTCACTTATAAAGCGAGAAACTCTTCCCTCAGTTCACGTGGTACGGAACTGAGCTAGCGTAAATCGCTACTATTCTAGGGCGGTCTTCAGGATGGTCATTCATCATATGGTCTTCGTCACCGCATATGTGGCAGAGGTAAGTAGATTTGCACTGGTGCGACATATGGTGAAGAGACGCGCATATTTCGCGGTAAACTGGGCGGGGCCGATCCTTGTAGTCAGAGACCGTGGCCAATGTAACATATACATAGAAACATTTTGAGTGGGCCGTACCCATCTCGAAGTTGAGTAAGAATTTGTTCATGATTGTATGGGTCACTTCCTGGTGCCTCCTTGGTGGGACGCCATCGAGCTTTTTACGGTATAGGGCTTTGTCTTGCCAGGCAGTCATTTGGCAGGGCTGGTTATCATCGATGATGCCGACCATATCCTCCTTGAGTCTTCGGCGTGTGTTCCAACTGCTCCTACAACGATGTTGCCTCGCACAGAGTACACAGCCAAGAATTGCTTGTTTGCCGTAGGTTGCTTCTCCTTCAGTAGCATGTCAATATGTCGGACCGCGCCAGGCTGTATGTTACGCTTGTGAATAGGAAGCGGCGGGTCAGTGGCATGATCAGGCGGCTAAGGTGGTTCTTTCGGGAGGGGGGTAGTGTTGGCTGGGGCAGTTTATTATTTGGTCTCTTGGTCGGTTTAATTGGGATGCGGTGTTCGTTGTTTTGTTTGTATCAGCTACAGGTTCCCGTGTTTGCATCATGTTCTCGTTCACCTTTGCCAGCTCTGCTGTGAGGATAGCATTGGATTTGGCCAGGCATTTGTATGTAGCAGTGGCGTGTCCAAGGACAATGGACAGGGGAGGGGACTTTGGGAGGGGCGCACCGAACGTGAGATAGATGCCCTCGACTTCCTCTTGACCGATTCGTCCAGCGTTGGCGGCGAGAGTCCCTTTTTTACATAATCTAGTGGCAGCTTCCATGGCGGAGTTGATCGACTTGAGAAAATTATTGACAGTCGCGGTTTGCAATAGGCGGTTGGGTTTCTGGGGTGGTGTCATCGTTAAACGTGTGGTGTCGAGAAAATTACAGGAAGCAAAATAAGGACCTGCAAAACAAGAGTCCGTTATCTTAGACGAAATTAAGAACGTGAGATTTGACAGATATAGCAATGAGGACTGCTAATCCTACAAAAAAATGGCCTCAGCCAGAGCGTTGTCGGACCGTGCAGCAGTTTCAGGAGCTTTTTTATTTCGTTGTCTAGAATGGCCCCGACCACCACCGCCATAGGATGAACCACCTACAGCACCCGATGGAGGGCATACGGATCCGTATAAACCCCTTCGCATCTCCCTGACTCAGTGCTCGTACTCTGTCCAAGGGGCTTCAGGTGACATACAATTCCCCTAGGCGGTGTCGTATGGCCACTGACCCTCTTTTCTTGGCTCGGGAGAGGCGAATAGACCATCCGTCTGTTCGAATGGTAATACGAGGAGCGGTTAGAAGGTGGAGTGTACTATGTGTGACCTGACTTGGAACGTCTTCGGCGACAGCAGATGATGATCCCGGTAGCTACGACGAACGAAAGGAATGCTGCACCAAGCGAACCAAGAGCGATAAAGAGCGTTTGGTGAAGCTGTTGGTTTCGTGCTGTTGTCGCCATGGATGTTATACTTGGTAGTGTCGTTGTTATCATTAGTAGCCAATAATTCAAACCCGAGAGGATGAGGAATAGGGGCGTTAGGATTTAGTTGGGGGGCCAAAGCTTCCTCCGTATTCGAGAGATAGCTTGGTGATGGGGTGCCTGGAAAAAGGACCTGGTTCGTTCTGCAAACGGATTCGTCGACAGGCAACGTTCCATTGGTAAAGTAATCGTTGATGACATGGAACGTGCAATCGGAATGTTCAGCGAGTGATGTATGACCGAAATCGCATTGCTCTACCATTGCAGCATTTGCTTCATCAAGGAGGTCCGCAACCAGCTTTGCTCCTGGGTAGGGCGTAACAGGGTCTGCTTGATTTCCAATGACGAGAATCTTGTTCTTCAATGTAGAGTTCCATGGGTCAGTGAAGCGCTCGGCGCGAGAAGGCCAGTTGTGGCACCAGAAACCAGCATCGGTCCGACTGGACAGAAGAAACCAATTCCGACAAAGGTGAGGACCGAAGTTTAACTTACACATCTCGGAAACATTCCGTGACGCCAAGAGAATCTCTCCAAAGACATCGCTTGTTGTCGCATTCCCTGCATCGACCGCTTCTGCACACGTTATCGCCAGGAAGGCGTAACCATACGTGATTGAATCTAAGTCCCTCTTGCCCATGCTCTCCAAGCGCCTCTTTGCCACGAGATTGATTTTCCTTTTCCTCAGTCCTGGTGGACCAAATTCTGGAGGCGAGAACCACGAAGTGGTGCTCAGGCGAATCAAAATCGGATGCTAGTGTAGCCAGCCTGTCGAATTATCCGTCGCTTGGAATAACATGTTTCGAATGGCAGCAGAGCTCGTCTCGGTGCCCCCACCTTTGCAGTAATCGTACGCTGCATCCATGAGTCCCTGAACCCATTGGGTGACTGTTTCGTTGGTGCTCCCCTTCTCGGCAATGGCACGTCCTGAAGGGCCCACCATGGCGCAAGCACCTGCAAAGCCTTAGGAGTGTCTTGTATCTTATCTGTGGGAAGAGAATCAATGTTGAGAGACGTAGCAGGGCGAAAGAATCATGATGAGACACACATGCCCAAATCTTACCGACCTGGCTAAGGAGCGAGTCAGCCTCGGGTTCTTGTTTCCAGAACGCCACCACATCGGGGTCAGTCTGATTGGGACTTGCGAAGTTTCCCTTTGCTTCCAGGCCATTATTAGACGAGGGACCGTCAGTAAGAAGTTGAAGAATGAATCTGGAACATCTTCACCTGGACTGGAAGACGACGGTGCCATTCCAAAATTGTTGCTCCTTATCTGTGCTATTGAAGAAGTCAATCCCGGGCCTGGTGAGACCAGCCCCGCGAGGGTCAAAACCGGCGATATCGTAGTATCCACCTGAGGGCTACAGTGTCAGATTTGGAGAACATGGCTGCCAAGGACGATTGGAGATGTCACGCACAAATCCTATTCGCTAAATCTGTACCCCTTGACAACACGAGGTCTAAACCACTGTCACCAGGGCCACCTAGAAATAAGGGAAATCGAACATGGGCTTTCAATAATTCGGTGCGCTTCGAGCGAACGGCCCCAGGCCAAAAGCATGTGATATACATACAAACCTGGGTTAATGAAAGGTACCCCGTTTCACATGCGTTTGATCACGGCAAGCGTCGCCTTCCCCCTCGACTCCTGTCCTGGTGTGCAGTCCAGTGGCGCATCGAAAGTGCCACATAGGAAAGTCGGATCATCTATAGTTTGATGCTTTCATCGATGAATGGGAGCGCCTCCGAGTGCCATCCGAGATTGGAAAGAACACCACGGAGACTGTCAAGTGATCTGGCCAAATCCAGGGTGTATGATTCTGGGTGAACGGCAGCCAGCTCCTGCCAGAGTTTGACACTTTCTTCGATGAATGGGAGCGCCTCCGAGTGCCGTCCGAGATTGGAAAGAGCATTACATAGATTGTTGAGTGACGTGGCCAAATGCGGGGCGTATGATCCTGGGTGAATGGCAACTAGCTCACGGTATAGTTTGACGCTTTCTTCGATGAATGAGAGTGCCTCCAAGTGCCGTTTGAGATTGGAACGAGCAACATATAGTTCGTTGAGTGATCTGGCCAAATATGGGGTGTATGATCCTGGGTGAAGGGCAACTAGCTCACGGTATAGTTTGATGCTTTCCTCGATGAATGGGAGCGTCTCCGAGTGCCGTCCGAGATTGGAAAGGGCATCATGTAGATTGCTGAGTGATCTGGCCAAATCCAGGGTGTATGATCCCGGGTGGACAGCAACAAGTTCACGGCATAGGTTGACGCTTTCTTCGATGAATGGGAGCGCCTCCGAGTGCCGTCTGAGATTGGAAAGAGCATCATATAGATTGTTGAGCGATCTGGCCAAATCCAGGGTGTATGATCCTGGGTGAAAGGCAACTAGCTCCTGCCAGAGTTTGACACTTTCTTGGATGAATGGCAGCGCCTCCGAGTGCCGTCTGAGATTGGAAAGAGCACAACCTAGATTGTTGAGTGACCTGGCCAAATCCAGGGTGTATGATCCTGGGTGAACAGCAACCAGCTCACGGTATAGTTTGATGCTTTCTTTGATGAATGGGAGCGCCTCCGAGTGCTGTCCAAGGTTGGAAAGAGCATGAAATAGATTGTTCAGTGATCTGGCCAAATCGGGGGTGTATGATCCTGGGTGAATGGCAACTAGCTTCCGCCAGAGTCTGACACTTTCTTCGACAAATGGGAGTGCCTCTGAGTGCCGTCCGAGATTGGAAAGAGTGCAAGACAGATTGTTGAGTGATCTGGCCAAATCGAGGGTGTACAATCCTGGGTGAACGGCAACTAGTTCACGGTACAGTGTAATGCTTTCTTCAAAGAATGGGAGCGCCTCCAAGTGCCGTCCGAGATTGGAAAGAGTACTACGGAGATTGTTGAGTGATCTGGCCAGTTCTGGGGTGTATGGTCCTGGGTGAACAGCCACTAGTTCACGGTACAGCTTAACGCTTTCTTCGATGAATGGGAGTGCCTCTGAGTGCTGTCCGAGATCGGAAAGAGCACCACGGAGATTTTCAAGTGAGAGGGCCAAATCCAGGGTATATGATCCTGGATGAATGGCAACTAGCTCCCGCCGGAGTTGGACACTTTCTTTGATGAATGGGAGCGCCTCCGAGTGTCGTCCAAGATTGGAAAGAGCACAATATAGATTGTTAAGTGATCTGGCCAAGTCTGGGGTGTATTGCCCTGGGTGAATCGCAACTAGCTCACGGGATAGTTTGACGCTTTCTTCAATGAATGGGAGCACCTCCGAGTGCCGTCCGAGATTGGAAAGAGCACCATATAGATTGCTGAGTGTTCTGGCCAAATCCGGGGCGTATGATCCTGGGTGAATAGCAACTAGCTCACGGTATAGTTTGATGCTTTCTTCGATGAATGGAACCGCCTCCGAGTGCCGTCCAAGATTGGAAAGAGCCAAACATAGATTGTTGAGTAATCTGGCCAAAACTGGGGTGTATGATCCTGGGTGAACGGCAACCAGCTCACGGTATAGTTTGATGCTTTCTTCAATGAATGGGAGTGCCTCTGAGTGCTGTCCAAGATTGGAAAGAGCCAAACATAGATTGTTGAGTGATTCAGCCAAATCCGGGGTGTATGATCCTGGGTGAACAGCAACTAGCTCACGGTATAGTTTGAGGCTTTCTTTGATGTACGGGAGCGCCTCCGAGTGCTGTCCAAGATTGGAAAGAGCAAAAAATAGACAGTTGAGTGACTTGGCCAAACCCGGGGTGTATGATCCTGGGTGAATGGCAACTAGCTCACGGTATAGTGTGACGCTTTCTTCAATGAATGGGAGCACCTCCGAGTGCCGTCCGAGTTTGGAAAGAACAAGATATAGATGGAGTGAGCCAGCCAAATCTGGGGTGTATGATCCCGGGTGAATGGCAACTAGCTCACGGCATAGTTTGATGCTTTCCTCAATGAATGGGAGTGCCTCCGAGTGCCGTCCAAGATTGGAAAGTGCCGAAGATAAAATGCAAAGTGATGTGGCCAAATCTGGGGTGTAAGATCCTGGGCGAACAGCAACTAGCTCCTGCCAGAGTTTGACGCTTTCATTGATGAATGGGAGTGCCTCCGAGTGCCGTCCGAGAATGGAAAGAGCGAAAGATAGAGTGTGGAGTGATCTGGCCAAATCTGGGGTGTAAGATCCCGGGCGAACAGCAACTAGCTCTCGCCAGAGTTTGATGTTTTCTTCGATGAACGGGAGCGCCTCCCAGTGTCGTCCGAGATTGGAAAGCGCCAAATATAGATCATTGAGTGATCTGACCAGATCAGGGGTGTATGATCCTGGGTCAACGGCAACTAGCTCACGGTACAGTTTGACACTTTCTTCGACGAATAGGAGCGCCTCCAAGTGTTGTCCAAGACTGGAACGAGCATCACCGAGATTGTTGAGTGATTTGGCTAAATCCGAGGTATATGATCCTGGTTGAACAGCAACCAGCTCGCGCCGGAGTTTGACACTTTCTTCGATGAATGGGAGCGCCTCCGAGTGCCGTCCAAGTTTGGAAAGAGCCAAATATCGATTGTTAAGTGACAGGGACAAATGCGGGGTGTAGGACAATGAGTCCACAGAAAAAAGGTAACGGCACAGTACAACAGAATCGCTTGCCGCCTCATCTGCCTCCCGGAATCTTGACAAAAATACCAAATTTGACGAAAGCTTGGCAAGCACATTAGCCAGTACGCCAACAGCACCTTCCGAGCTGTGGTCAACAGCCGACTAGAAGACCATGAGGTAGTTTCATTAACACAATTGATGATCCATACCTTGGCCCACTCAGGGAGTAATGAGATACTGATGTAGCCTTCCATTCTCACACAGACTTCCACCCAGCGAGTTGCTTGCTGGCTGAGAAACACGCCAACTGACCGATTGAGCTCTTGTGATGGTTCCTGGACTCCACTGAGGTGATGGACAATATGACGGCATGCATAACGAAAGTGGTCAGATAAGTCCTCTGAAGGAATACGCGGCATTTCGTCTCTTTCAGACAAGTTTTCAATCAGTCCTAGGCCCTCTATCGAGCAAAGATCCTGGTTCAGGATCTCGGTACATCGCTGGGCAACCCTGGCATTCTCTGTGCTCAAATTTACTGGACTGTAACCATTGATGGACTGGAGATCGATCCGATCCACAATAAAGTCACGGAATGATTGGTGTAAGATGCGAATCGGAATGTGAGGATCCCCAACCCCCGAGAGGAGAGGGGCGAGTTCAGCCAATGCATACCGGACAGAAGAATTGGAGAGGAAAGGTGACAAAATCACGTCCCAGGCAGTGACAGACAGAGGCTGCTGTGCAGCAACGATTGCCCCCATCACAATTGGATAGTCGTGCGCAAAATCTTCATCTTCCCAATTACACCTTTCCAGAATGGTTGTGTATAAACGATCCATCATTCCCTCGGCAGGGACATTTGAACGTTTGGTGCCAGTACCGAGCAGGCGCCCCAGTGTCCTCATAGGATCGTTGCTGTTCGTCTCCATGTAGAGGAAGATGGTTCTGACCCAAATAAACAGGCCATTTGCTCGTTCCAAGATCTCCTGAACCTTTTTGTCCTCGTCCTGAAGATTATTGCGTAACTCCGGATGCAATTTCTTGAGCTCCCGAAGCCGGAAACTTATGTATGTCGCGCAGTCCTGCACGTTTGCCTCATCCGAGAGATCAATAGTGAGTCGATTGGTAGGGGAGAGGGAACGATTCACGAGATCAGAATGTCTCGATGTGATAAAGAATTTTATGGAAGATGGTATTTATGGAAGATGGTAGCTTGGGCACCTCCTCCCTAAGGATTTCGGCAAGGGGTAAAAACACGTTTTTGTCACACTCGTCCAAAGCATCAATGACGACGACCATAGAATGACCGGAAGGAGGAGGTGTATGGAGGAGAGGCGAAGCCACCAAGCTCTCGAATTGCTTCGCGAGGGAGGCTGTTGAGAGAGAAGGGTCATTTCGAAGAGCAGAGACAATGAGAGTGCGGTAAACCGGGTCATGGTCTGCTAGGGCTCGAGCTATACCGGTGAATAGAAAATCGGGCCGCGCCCGTTCACCCGCTTTAAAGAAGAAGTGCAGTAATAGGGTAACGTCCTCTTCGTTGGCACATCGTTCTGCTATCGTGAGCGCAATTGAAGTTTTGCCGGCACCGGCCACAGCAGTCAGCAGCATTAGCCGATCCTCCCTCTCCCCAGCGTTGCGACACCATGTCATGATACGCTCAGTGAGATCAACCCTGGTGCCTTCTAGGCACACCTGAGTGGAATCACCGAGGGCGATATGAGGGTATCGGAGGCTCTCGAGAATTTTGTCGTCCTGATTACGACGTTCCGCATCCTGTTTACGACGTTCTGCGTCCTGTTGACGACGTTCTATGGCCGCTAATTTGGCGCCGGTCATCAAGTTCGTCCGAAGCTGCATCGACCGAAAGTCAGAATGATTGTGGAACGATACTACATATAAGGAAAGCTACCTGAAACGATGCCAATGCTTTGTCGAAATCTTTCTTCAGGCTATTAATCCTTCCTGGGTCTCGCAAGTGCGAAAATACATTTATTATGGCGCATCGTTTCTCCACCTTTTCCCGTCTTCCTTTGATTTCGGACTCAATCACCTGTAGAGCCCTGGGACTTGATGTTCATAACGATAGCAAAGACCACCAAAAATACAACTTACCTTTTGAGCTTTGTAGCATTCTCCACCCATGGGTTTGACTCTTCCGCTGACGCATCGTAAGATTTCATGACTAAAATCACGTCGACCACGGTGTCGGCTACATATTGACCGAAATCAACCCATTCCTTCTTGTTGTCTCTGAACTTCTGCGTTGCCCAAACTAGTGTGAGCTTCCATTCATGGCCAAGCGCAAATCATTGCCAACCTGAACCTCGTCAAGGATAGAGAGTGCACCGCCAGTGGCCATCTTGAGAGGGGGACACCAATCAGCCGCAGCATTGACGACCTTGAGAATTGGGACCGCCAGGTCAACCCCCTCCACGAGGAGATCATCGATCTTATGCCTGAGAGCTTCAACCTTTTGCTGCAATGACATGATAGCGGATAAGTGGATGGAGGAGAGAGCTTTGGGCGTGCAACACGCATGTCTTAGGTCAGAGCCACGAGGCCTCCGTCTGATTATGGAAGGTCGAGGAACGGTATAATGAATACTCACCATCCTTCTGATCTGACATCAGCGACGAAGTCGAGCAAGCGCGGTTGGCATGACTCGGGCTGGTCAAGTGGTCTGCATTTCATAGGTCTGCTTTAGTAGAGGCTGGGATCCTGCCTAGTCAAGTGGGATGAGATCAAATCTTGATCGAGCCCTGGCTGGGAGATAAGTGTGATTGGGAATGGCCAAATTCGACGTGAACCCGCAAAGACATCTATGGAATATCATACTGAAGCATCAATCGCGGCGGTCGCTTGGGCTGGCGGTAAGCGCCGGTTGTACTTCGGCGGGGCCAGGATCCCGTCTGGACTTCATCACGTCTTCTCGTTGCTCATCATGTCAGAGCAATCACCGTCTTTGGATGCAGGCGATTGGGCGTCGGCCTCGAACAGTTTAAAAGCCTATCATGTTCCAGCTACCGTTAAAATCGTTCCCTACAACCTTTTTCTTGTTCTTTGGATCAAGTGCTGATCCCTAGACAGCGCCCTGAAACTAGCCAAGGTCCACCATACTACGCACCACTGCCGTTCCGTAGGCGTCCCACGACGCCTCATTTGGCCGGCTGTCATTGTGCCGCTTAATCGTGGGCCAACACTATTCCACCTGTCCGTGGCCCAATGGGAGGCATTGATCGTGCACCGGTCTGATTACCCACATCAGCAAATAAAATCAAGAAAGACAAATAAAACAGAAAAAGTTCGGGAATGGGAAAAATATCAGTTCAATTTCAATTACCGTCACCAGGAGAACACCTGAAGAGCGAGGGTCAAGATACGCAGGCATTCTGAAGGCCGATTAATTGGCATGTGAGAGGAATAGAGGATATTACATGGGGGTCAAAGGTAAACGAAGAACGGGTTGATCTGAAGACTGTTACTCCGTGTGTGTGCGACCCGGCCATGAGCACAGTCAAGAAGTAGAGGCCTATTGTTGGGCGGGCGGGCGATGGCGACGCGCCGGTACGCATATCTATGTTCACATCTTTTACATAATTGTCATTAATTATTATAATTTCACTCGCTGTAATGTTATCGTCATCTTTCGACTCCCCCGCCCCTTTTGTTAGAGTATCTCCGCGGAGTGCTACATAACATCACCTATCGGGTCACCTACAATCTGTCGAGTCAGAAGAATGGATTTTCTTCAAAGGGTGCAGCGGTACTTCGTCTCTCCTTGCACGCGTTGCCGACGCGATCCATCGGGTGTACACTCACTTTGAAATGGGCACCGCGTCGTATCATTTTACCACTACAATACAAAGACCGATTAAATACCCCTCATTTTCATCATCAGACTACACTCGATGGCAAAATGATCGACACCCCTTGTTCAGCGCAAGCTGGGCGTACGTGATATGCGTCGCAGACACTAAACACCTGGACATTGCGATTGAAAGTGCATGATCGCGTCCCTGCTTGCAACACAGGACATTAACAGCTGTGAGTTCAGCATTTCCTGTGCAAGCGCCACGTCTGGTGGAAATTCGGAACCGAACGAGCATACAACTTCTGATTGTGGACAAGCGCCGCATGAATGTACATCGAAGATTGACCCCTAGCCACCGGAGTTAACATCCTCAATGCAACTCCAGATCAACATAGGTATGTATATCGAGAACACAATTTTACATAAACTGCAATTTTAATAGACATGCGAGACATGTCTTCGTATACTCATGCTGATTATCTGCACCTCTTAGCGATGCGCCGGTCTAGTACAGTTGGTACAGGCAAACATGTACGCATCAAAAGGCGATTAGTCCCAGTATGCTTGGGCCAGGTCACACGGATTTGATTTGCTTCCCTTCAGCCATCAGGTCTCCGCCCCCGTCAGAAGAGATATTCAGGGAAGGCTTCAGGATTGGTCGTAAAGAAAACACAAGGCCACCCATTCCGTTCCTGATCCAGATGCTATGGTACCGTCCTACTTGTGCAATCCAGTGACACAGCCAACGCGATATGAAGCACACACACTTTATTAAGCCTAAGTTCTTGGCAAGGGCTTGAAAAAGGTCTAAAGAACGTATGGAAGGAGCCCAGTTGTACGAAGATCGAACCTATTAGGATAGCATTAACCAAGTGGCCTTCGCAGGTTCTCCAGCTTTGAAGGATATCAGCAAAGCTGATTCGGATCTCCGTCCGGGTTTCCACTAGCGCAGCTTACATAAAGAAGTGCATGAGACGCCTTGGCGAGTGCAGACCCTGCCGCATTGTCCTCACAGAACACCGACATCCAAGAGACAGGTTGGACGGTGCTAGTGGTTCACAGTGAGATGCTTGAGCCACTGAATGTTCAACAAACGGCAAACCTTGATGAGACGTCGCAGGTCCCAAGTACACGTGGCTGCGATAGAAAGCTGATAGTGGCTGCCTGTGTCCCCGTCTAACTGGAGAAATTAGCAGCGATAACCTCCATTTCAGCTCGTATCCCGTAACACAGCCCAACGTTCCCCACGGACGAGTGACGACTCATCACCCTCTTTCGAAGCCGCTCAAACTTGCTACACCCTCCCCGCTCCCAATGTCCAGACGATCGGTCTCCAGAGCGACTCGGACCCACTCCTGGTGGCTGCCAGTCCATCACCCCCCTTCCTCTTCGTCTTCACCATATTCCCCGCCTCACATTCTCCCACGACTTCATCTTCATCCTCGCTCGTAACTGGAACCACAACTCCGCCTACCATTGCATTCTAATTCAGATCACTGCCTTCCCTGCCCCCCAGAAACTATGTGGCTTACGCTTGTACGCAAACTATGTAGCAGTTTTAAACCTGTGAACTTACAAAAACTGTGACCATCACCCGTACCAGGTTATGAAATCCCCAGTTTTCAACCAGTAAACCACACTTCCTTCAAATCGACAATATCTAGCGACCTTCGTAGGGATCATTCGAGAAGGGTGAGCTTATTGAACAGAGGCGATGAGTTCTACGCCAGGTGTATCATGACGCCAATTGTCGACTTGTCGCATCCAGATCCGGCAGCCAGTCAATGGCCTGCAATCAAGGACGACGAAAGCCTAGGCAACAAAAATGTGGAGGGTTCCACCGAGGAAACCGAATAACGCGTTGAGGTGAAGATAGATCCAAGATTATTCCTATTCTTCCGACTGGGACACCGATAGCCAAGAAAAAAAGGTCCTACAGTGTGATACTGCCATTTGTCAGTCACCCCAGACGAAGCCCTTTTTGGGGGGTTTCGCGTCACTCGAAGGTCCCTATCCTCATGGAGACCCAGCAGGCGTTCGCGATACGTCCAGCACCACCAGCAGAACCTGTTAACAAAAATCGTATTATGTGTTTTTTGAGATGGGTGTTGAAACGTTGCCTCGGTATATGCTAGCCCATGCGACCAGAGGCATCCCCGACTCGGATAGTCGAAATCCCAATAAATCATCGAGGGGACCACGCGGCGGAGGACCAGGACCCCATTTCCGGCGCTGGGTATCCTGCCAGACGCAACACCGGCGGGTCCTGACCAAGGGCCAGATGGAAGATTTTGCCACCGTTTTTGGTGACTTTGGGACCCCCCACCTCCCCCTGACCAAGACTACCAGAGAGGGAGCTATTTTCAACGCGACCTAGATATGTGCACCCAAGATGATGCTTCACAGAGTGGCTCTGACCCTCAGCCAATGCCACGTCATGGCCCCAGTTTGACCTCGAAGAAGGGATTCAGCACACGTGGCTAACGAAGCAAAGTGTCCCCATCTCAATATGCATGCGGGCCCCTGCTCTTCCGCTCTGCTCTTGCAGTCACACATACGAACGACCGAGAGAACTCGAGTACTGTATATAACAAAGAAGTCGGTTATAGCACTTCGTAGTGGCCCAACACCCCCGAGCTAAACTATCGGTCTCCCAGGGGCGAAGGCCATGCACCCAAGTATGCTGAGTATACCAGTGGAATCCAGCACCTCCCAGTGTCATGGAGGTGAAGATGAAATCGACCCAAAAGCAGAGAAATCGGCGTCGGTACAAACCGCACTAGAAGTGGATTCTGGTGGCGCCTGCCTTGACCGCGGGAGTTATGGGAAGAATAGTGAACCTGTGCGTCAACCCGTGGTGGTCGAAAGGGTATTCAGATTTCGTTAAACTTGTCATGTCGAGGAAATTACAGAAATGCGAAATAAGTAGCTGCAACACGAGAGGTCCGTTATATTATACGAAATTATGAATCGAAGCAAACAACGTGAGTGACAGATCAAGCAACGAAGATCTGCTGATCCAGCAGAATGGTGGCCTCAGCCTGGAGGATTGTCGAACCGTGCGGCGATTTCAGGAGCCTTTTTCATCGTCCAGAATAGCCCCGACCACCATCTCCATAGGATGAACCACCTACAGCACCCAATGGAGGGTCATACGGATCCATATAAGCCCCTTCGCGTCTCCCCGACCCAGTACTCGTGCTCTCTGTCGAAGGAGGAATGAAGGCTTCAGCATCTTCTCCATGACTGGCATCTCGGTGATGTGCAACTCCCCCAGGTGGCGTCGTATGGCCACTGACGCTCTTATCTTGGTTCAGGAGAGGCGCATTAACCAAGCTGTATGCACCACTCGATCTATTCGAATGGAAATAGGAAGAGCGGTTAGAAGTCGGAATGTAGTATGTGGAACCTGACTTGGAGCGCCTTCGGCGACAACAGATGATGATCCCGGTAGCTACGAGGAACGAAAGGAATGCTGCACCAAGCGAGCCAAGAGCGATAAGGAGCGTTTGGCGAGTCGACTTGAGGCTGTTGATTTCGTTCTCGAGCGCAGTGAGGGTGCTGTTGTCGCCATGTATATTGTACTTGGTAGTGTCGTTGTTATCATTAGTAGCCAATAATTCAGACCCGGGAGGATGAGGAATAGGGACGTTAGGATTTAGTTGGGGGTCAAGGCTTCCTCCGTATTCGAGAGATAGTTTAGTGACGGGGGAGCCTGGGAAAAGAACCTGGTTCGTTCCGCAAATGGATTCGTCGACCGGTAACGTTCCATTGGCAAAGTAATCGTAGATGACACGGAACGTGCAATCGGAGTGTTCAGCGAGTGATGTATGACCAAAATCGCGCTGCTCCACTATCACAGCGTTTGCTTCGCCAAGGAGGTCCGCAACTAGCTTTGCTCCTGGGTAGGGCGTAATGGGGTCTGCTTGATTTCCAACGACGAGAATCTTGTTCTTCAATGTAGAGTTCCATGGGCCAGTGAAGCGCTCGGTGGCGCGAGAAGGCCACTTGTGGCACCAGAAACCGGCATCGGCGAACATGGGTCCGACTGGACGGAAGAAAACGTAGAACTTAGCGTCCAATTCCAATGAAAGTGAGAACCAAAGTTCAACTTACACATCTCGGAAACATTCTGTGACGCCAAGAGAATCTCTCCAAAGACATCGCTTGTTGTCACATTCCCTGCGTCGACCGCATCTGCACACGTTATCGCCTGAGAGGCGTAATCATATGTGCTTACACCTGAATCCCTCTTGCCCAGCCTGTCCAAGTGCCTCCTTGCCACAGGATTGGTTTTCTTTTTCCTCAGTCCTAGCGGACCAAATCCTGGAGGCGAGAGCCACGAATTGGTTTCTAGACCCAGTAGATCACTCGATGGTAAGCCACGCTTGCTTCCGCGCCCGCCATTTTGGAATAAGAGCTGCCCAAGCGAATAAAGATCAGATGCTAGTTTTGGCCAGCCTGTCGGATTATACATCGCTTGGAATAACATGTTTCGAATTAAAGCGGAGCTCGCCTCGGTGCCTCCACCTTTGTAGTAATCGTATGCTGCGTCCATGAGTCCCTGAACCCATTGGGTGATTGTTTCGTTGGTGCTCCCCTTCTCGGCAATGGCGCATCCTGAAGGGCCCGCCATGGCGCAAGCACCTGCAAAGCCTTGGAACACCTTAGGAGTGTCTTGTATCTTATCTGTGGTAGGAAAGGAAGAGATTCAATGTTGAGAGACGCAGCAGGGCAGGAACATGAAGGGACACACATGCCCAAGCCTTGTATGAGGGTTCGGTGGCCCACAGAAGTGTGTTGACGACACCATCAATAACAACATGTCCCACGCGGTCAGGGAACACTGGCGAAACGCGGCGACAAGAGGCAACAACCCAGCTAATCAGCAAGTATCCTCCGGGATGCCATGAGGACGTGACTTACTGTTCACGAGGTAAGCGCCAATAACCGTCCCATAACTGAAGCCCCAATAGTAGACCAGGGACCCATCGCCATCATAAGCATCCGCCATGGCAATAATATCCCTCACGACCGCAGCAGTACCAACGAATTCGAGGTTGTCGCCATTCATCTGAAGACACAACTGACCGACCTGGCCAAGTAGCGAATCAACCTCAGGTTCTTGTTTCCAGAACGCCACTACGTCGGGGTCAGTCTGATTGGAACTTGTGAAGTTTCCTTTTGCTTCGAGGCCATTACTAGTAATCGAAGGACGGGGGACCGTGAGTAAGGAGTTGAAAAAAAAATGAACCCTGGAACATCTCACTTGGACTGGTAAACGACGGTGCCATTCCAAAATTGTTGCTCCTCATCTGTGCTATTGAAGCAGTCGATCCTGGGCATGGTGAGACCAACCCCGCGAGGGTCAAAACTGACGATATCGTAGTATCCACCTGAGGACTGCAGTGTTAGATTTGGAGAACAAGGACGATTGGAGATGTCGCACCAGTCCTATTCGATAAATCCGTACCCCTTGACAACACGAGGCCTAAACCACTGTCACCAGGGCCGCCTAGAAATAGGAGAAATCAACCATGGGCATTTAACGATTCGGCACAACCTCGAGCGAAAAAGAATGGAATACTCATACACACCTGGGTTAACGAAAAGGGACCCCTTCCTCTCACGCGTAGCAGGATATTTGATCACGGCAAGCGTCGCCTTCCCTCTTGACTCCTTTCCTGGTGTCCAGTCCAGTGGCACATCGAAAGTGCCACATAGGAAAGTCGGATCGTCCGGACATTTGCTCCATGTAGTATTTTTCGCGATGGGGCTGTAGCGGTCATATGCGACTACAGTCGTTATCAGAGAAGAGAGAAAAACGATAGTTGCAACAACCGCCTGGCGAACAGAGAGGTGCATAGAGACGTCGTCCTCAACGCAAAAAGCGCCCCAAAACAAAGGGAGGAGCTGATTGATGAAGGGGAATTTGCTGGCGCGTGCCTTTTGTAAGGGGATTCTTCCTCATGTATGGTGATCTTCCAGGAGCATTCGGGCACCTAGCGTGGGGAGCTGGTTGAAGCGGACGGGCACAGCAACGCCACATACTTTTTGTGTGCCACTGAATTGACACCTGAAGGAATGAATTGAGTTACATTGCCTGCCTGGGCTCTGTTTTTCACCGATTGATGAAGCAGTAGTATCAGGGGCAGACTGTGATTTATTAATAAATTCCGGTGCTTTGTCCGAAACTTTTTTTGGTTTGAGGCGACGCGGAATCACTTGGCATGTCAATGTACGTGGGCTAACTTGAGATGCCCTCCCACCTTGATGGCCACAGGCCGGGAAATGTGGTTGCTTCCATGCGGGATGCAGGGGCCTACAACAACAATCTCACGGGAAGACCGGGGTTGTCGAGAATGCCCACCATCTGCACGGTCAAAGGCTGTGGGTTGGGTTCTTTTGAGATGTGTGCATCGCTCAGCCATTAAATAAGTAATGCAGTGCCGCCGGTGCGTGACACCATACGATGAGTAAGCTCTCCTGTCCCGGGACCCCAGTTTCTAGGCAGAGCACGGCGTCATGACTTGCATTGCCAGTACTACACTTCTGCCTGTACGCGGCCCACACCTGCCGATGGGTGTAATTAACTTCGCAACAATAGAATGGGAACCGCATTTAGCTTTGGTATCGTGTCACCATTCGCTCCAACTCCTAATTCTCATACTCTCTATGATCGCGGAGTGATCAACCATAGCGACCACGATCGGCCACGCTGTGATTTCAGCTTCATTTACACAACCGCGGACGCGGCGTAACGCATGTGACTCCACTTCTGGGCGCTTCCTGTACGATGCTACAACTATTTCATGGCAAACCGAAAACACGGTGCCGAACGACACCAAATGGTAGTATTGAGCATGACCTCCCTCCTAACGGTCATCTGCACAACTCCTAATTATACACAAGCCCCATTCCACCGTCCTGGATATGATGTGAGCAAGCGCGCATGCATGCTACAAGATTGTGGCTGGAGTCCTGGGTCGCTTATATATCATGGGACTGATTGACTGCACACTTGCCCGCGGGATTTATGTAAGATCTGTAGTGTGACAGGCACATGTAATACAATTGTGGAGTACATTTGTCCGAATTTATTGTCATATTGCATCCTGTGCAAAAGGATCGACCGCCCCGATCGAATGTACGGCCCCGTCTGTGAGTGTCGGTACGACGGTAAATGTTGTAGTTGCTATACTTCGGGCTTGTTAGACAGCCAAGCACTGCACGCCAAATATTACTTAGAAGACGAACGAGATAGCGCTTTGGTACATGATCAGTCAACATGCATGTGATACAGACGTTCATAATGTTGAAACAGCTAACCAGCTCAGAACACCCGCCACTATTCAGCGCACAAGCATGGTAGCCGAGATACCGACGCGAATAGCCACAGGGTAAGTCAATAAATCGACGTCGAACACCGAAGACTAATCTACTCTTCATTGCTGCGCTTATAGTGTGCTCCATTTATGGCTGCTGGCCGGCGCATGTGACGTTGTTGACGGGGATTCTGCCCCTGCAAACACTGGCCAGATGGCTGAGCTTTTTGCGTAGTGAGGGTGCTGGATCTACAAGCCAGCATACTTATCACATAATTGAACTCAGCATGAAGAGACGAAGAGATAGAGGCCGGCCATGACTTTCCCCATGGATATGCCTAGGAGCTGCGATGTCGGGAACGCGCCGAGTCTGCCAAGCCGTCCGACATGCTCAAGCCCACAACTCCCAATATTATCACAACCAATCGATCTCACACACATCGGACTTACTATCGAACGCAATGGCGACAGGGATGTGTACTGCTTATTGGGACAATAGTCCGAAGTTTGTTGCGTCTCTTACAGTGATGCATCACAGGTTTTCGACCTGCCGATCGAGTCTTTTCATTGCATCAACATTCAGCATCCATCAAACCTTGACGTCGTTGCTTACGATGGTATGCAGAAACATTGAACCAGTAGATGAAAGAGAAAAGAGCAACCTCCATACTGAGATTATGAGTTTGCAACTGCGATTTGTTATGGGCGTAGTGCCAGTGATTGTTCTATCAATAGAAAAAATCGAGGTTGGACCACCGGACTTGGGTTGCTCATACATCGGAATGAAGTCCAAGATTGGAAAGGGCTTGACGTAGATTTCTGAGTGAATGGGTCAATCCTGAGGCATATGCACCTGGGTTAATTTCAACCAGCTGGCGTCGGATCTTGACACTTTCTTCGATGAATGGGAGCGCCTCCGAGTGCCGTCCGAGATTGGAAAGAGCCTCGTATAGATTGTTGAGCGAGATGGCCAAATCAGGTGTGTATGATGCTGGGTAAACAGCAACTAGCTCGCGATGTAGTTTGACACTTTCTTCAACGAATGGGAGCGCTTCCGAGTGCTGTCCAAGATTGGAAAAAGCACCACGGAGATTGCCGAGTGATCTAGCCAAATCCGAGGTGTATGATCCTGGGTGGACAGCAACTAGCTCACGGTATAGTTTGATAGCTTCATCGATGAATGGGAGCGCCTCCGAATACCGTCCGAGATTGGAAAGAGCAAAATATAGATTGTTGAGTGAGAGGGCCAAATCTGGGGTGTATGATCCCGGGTGAACAGCAACTAGCTCACGGTATAGTTTGACGCTTTCTTCGACGAATGGGAGCGCCTCCGAGTGCCGTCCGAGATCAGAAAGAGCGCCACGGAGATTGTCAAGTGATCTGGCCAAATCCGGGGTGTATGATCCTGGGTGAATGGCAACTAACTCACGGTAAAGTTTGATGCTTTCTTCAATGAATGGGAGCGCTTCCGAGTACCGTCCGAGATTGGAAAGAGCAAAATATAGATTGTTGAGTGAGAGGGCAAAATCTGGGGTGTATGATCCTGGGTGAATGGCAACTAGCTCACGGTATAGTTTGACACTTTCTTCAACGAATGGGAGTGCCTCCGAGTGCTGTCCGAGATTGGAAAGAGCACCACGAAGATTGTCGAGGGACCTGGCCAAATCCGAGGTGTATGATCCTGGGTGAACAGCAACTAGCTCACGGTATAGTTTGATGCTTTCTTCAATAAATGGGAGCGCCTCTGAGTGCTGTCCAAGATTGGAAAGAGCAAAGTATAGATTGTTGAGTGAGAGGGCCAAATCCGGAGTGTATGATCCTGGGTTAACAGCAACTAGTTCACGGTATAGTTTGACGCTTTCTTGGACAAATGGGAGTGCCTCCGAGTGCCGTCCAAGATTGGAAAGAGCATCACGGAGATTGTCGAGTGATCTGGCCAAATGCGGGGTGTATGATCCTGGGTGAGTGGCAACCAGCTCACGGTATAGTTTGACGCTTTCTTCGATAAATGGGAGGGCCTCCGAGTGCTGTCCGAGACTGGAAAGAGCACCACGGAGATTGTCAAGTGAGATGGCCAAATGCGAAGTGTATGATCCTGCATGAATGGCAACTAGCTCACGCCGGAGTTTAACGCTTTCTTCAATGAATGGGAGCGCCTGGGAGTGCCGTCCAAGTCTGGAAAGAGCCAAATATAGGTTGTTAAGTGACAGGGACAAATGCGGAGTGTAGGACACTGAGTCCACGGAAAAAAGGTAACGGCAGAGTGCAACAGAATCACTTGCTGCCTCATGTGCCTCCTGGAATCTTGACAAAAATACCAAATTCCATGAAAGCTCGGCGAGCACATTTGCTAATGTGCCAACAGCAGCTTTCAAACTGTGGTCAACAAACAACTGGAAGATCATGAGGTAGTTTCATTAACACGATCGACAATCCATACCTTGACCCACTCAGGGAGTAACGAGATACTGATGTAGCCCTCCATTCTCACACAGACTTCCACCCAGCGAGTTACTTGCTGACTGAGAAATACACCAACTGACCGATTGAACTCTTGTGATGATTCCTGGACCCCACTGAGGTGATAGACGATATGGCAGCATGCGTAACGAAAGTGTTCGGATAACTCCTCTGGAAGAATACGCGGCATTTCATCTCTTTGGGACAAGTGTTCAATCAGTCCTAGGCCCGATACGGAGCAAAGATCCTGGTTCAGAATCTCGGTACATCGCAGGGCAATCCTGGCATTCTCTATCCTCAAATCTACTGGACTGCAACTAGGGTCAATGGACCGGAGATCGATCCGATCCACAATAAAGTCGCGGAATGAATGGTGTAAGATGCGAATCGGGATGTGAGGATCCTCAACCCCCGAGAGGAGAGGGGCGAGTTCAGCCAATGCATAACGGACAGAAGAATCGAGCAATGGTGACAAAATCACATCCCAGGCAGTGACCGACAGAGGTTGCTGTGCGGCAACGATTGCTCCCATCACAATTGGGTAGTCATGTGCAAAATCTTCATCTTCCCAATTACACCTTTTCAAAATCGTTGTGTATAAGCGATCCATCATTCCCTCAGCAGGGACTTTGGAACGTTTGGAACGTTTGGTGCCAGTATCGAGCAGGCGCCCCAGTGTCCTCATAGGATCGTTGCTGCTCGTCTCCATGTAGAGGAAGATTGTGCTGACCCAAATAAACAAGCCGTTTGCTCGTTCCAAGATCTCCTGCACTTTTTTGTCCTCATCCTGAAGATTATCGCGCAATTCCGGATGCAATTTCTTCAGCTTTTGAAGCTGGAAACTGATGTATATCGCGCAGTCCTGCACGTTTGTCTCATCCAAAAGATCAATAGTGAGTCGATTGATAGGGTAATCGGGGGAGAGGGAACGATTCACGAGATCAAATTGTCTCGATGTGATAAAGAATTTTATGGAAGATGGTAGCTTGGGCACCTCCTCCCTAAGGATTTCGGCAAGGGACAAAAACACGGTTTTGTCACACTCGTCCAAAGCATCAACGATAACGAGCATAGAATGACCGGAAGGCGGAGGTGTACGGAGGAGAGGCGAAGCCACCAAGTTCTCGAATTGCTTCGCAAGTGGCGCTGTTGAGAGAGAAGGATCTTTTCTAAGAGCAGAGATAATGGAAGTGCGGTAAACAGGGTCATGGTCTGCTAGGGCTCGAGCTATACCGGTGAATAGAAAATCGGGCCGCGCCCGTTCACCCGCTTTAAAAAAGAAATGCAGTAACAGGGTAACGTCCCCTTCGTTCGCACATTGCTCTGCTATCGTGAGCGCAATTGAAGTCTTGCCGGCACCAGCCACAGCAGTCAGCAGCATCAGCCGATTCTGACTCTCCCCAGTGTTGCGACACCATGTCATGATACGCTCAATGAGATCAACCCTGGTGCCTTCCAGGCACGCCTGAGTAGAATCACCGAGGGCGATATGAGGGTATCGGAGGCTCTCGAGAATTTTATCGTCCTGTTGGCGATGGTCTACATCCTGTTGACGACGTTCTATGGCCGCTAATTTGGCACCGGTCATCAAGTTCGTCCGAAGCTGCATCGACCGAAAATCAGAATGATTGTGGAACGATACACATATAAGGAAAGCTACCTGAAACGATGCCAATGCTTTGTCAAAATCTTTCTTGAGGCTATTAATCCTTCCTGGGTCTCGCAAGTACGAAACCGCATTTATTAAGGCCGGTCGCTTTTCTACTTTCTCCCGTCTTCCTTTGATTCCGGACTCAATCACCTGTAGAGCGCTGGACTTGATGTTCATAACGTAGCAAAGGTCACCAGAAATAAATAGAGCTTACTTTTTGAGCTTTGTGGCACTGTCCATCCACGGGTTTGCTTCTTCCGTTGACGCATCGTAAGATTTTATGACCAAAATCACCTCGACCACGGTGTCGGCTACGTATTGGCCGAAATCAGCCCACTCCTTCTTGTTGTCTTTGAACTTCTACGTTTCCCAAACTAGTGTGAGCTTCCATTCATAGCCAAGCGTAAATCGTTGCCAACCTGAACCTCGTCGAGGATGGAGAGTGCACCGCTAGTCGCCATCTTTAGAGGGGGACACCAATCAGCTGTAGCATTGACGACCCTGAGAATCGGGACCACTATGTCAACCCCTTGCACAAGTAGATCATCGATCTTATGCCTGAGAGCTTCAGCCCCTTGCTGCGCCGACATGTTCGATAGCAGACAAGTGGATGGAGGAGAGGGAGAACTTTGGGCGTCAAACACACGTGTGAGGTCAGAGCCACGAGGCCTCCGTCTGGTTATGGAAGGTTGAGGAAGGGCAACTTTTGGCCGACACAATCCCTCTGATACGATATCGGCGGCGAATTCTAGCAAGCGCGGTTGGCATGGGCAAGTGGAACGGATGATAGACATCAAATCTTGATGAAGTCCTGGCTATATCCTGCGAGAGAAGAGCTGCAAGTGTGATGGAGATGCACGAATTCAACATGAACTCGGAAAGACATCTATGGAACATCATACTGAGGCATCAATCGCGGTGGGAGCTTCGCACTGGGGTTGCCGGTAAGCGCCGGTTGTGGCGCACAACCTTCGGCATTTCATCACGTCTTATCATATCAGAGCAATCAGCATTTACATGAGTCTTTGGATGCAGGCGAGTGGGCATCGCCTGTGCATCCAAGCCTATCGAAGAGCTTAAAGGCTTATCATGTTCCAGCTACCGATAAAATGGTTCTCTACAACCCTTCTCTTCTTTGGATCAAGCGCCAATCCATAGACAGCGCCCTGAAACTAATGCCGCTTAATTGTGGGGCCAACACTGGTCCACTTGTCCGTTGGCCCAATGGGAGGTGAATGGGAGGCTTCGATCGTGCGCCGGTTTGATTACCCATCAGCGAATAAAATCAAGAAAACAGAGGAGTGGGAAGAGTGGGAAAAGTATCGCAAGTATGTTCAATGCGGGACAGAACATAGAAATGAAATGAATGAGACGGGATGATTTGAACACTGTCTGTTAGTGCGACCTGGCCACGAGTAAGGGTGAAGGATGCGTGACGTTGAACGGTGAGTAGTGTAAAGAAATGATGTGGGGGTAACTTGTGTGTGCGAGGCATCTACAATAGGAATGACGCAATTAGAATGAAGGAAAGACCTGGAAGCAGAGAGAGAACGAGTTAATGTCATAACCCGCCAGCCACTAATGGCCAAATTAGGCTGAACATCTCTACATCCAAGAGACGGGTGCGGTTGTTCGGAAAGAAAAGAGTCCTTGCCGAATTCGCTGTGCCTGGCAGAAGAATTGGATGGGGGCGAAGAGGATTGCAATGCACATCCTGCCTTTCGTGAAGAAAAAGGGATTACAATGGCCGAGAAGAGGTGGACAAGCCTCATGCCACCCACCGGGAACCGAGCCAAGTCGTGTCCGTGTGTCTACATCTTTAACTGCATTATGCAGTATCCTCCCTTCTACCGCTGCAAAGGCGAGTTCGGTGCGCAGCCAGGAGCAGCAGAGAAAGGACCAGAGGCGTTCAGCAGGTGTCGGCAATGGGGTAAACGAATGATTAAAAAAGTACGCCCATTTCTCGAATCAGTTGCTTGGGTCAGGCCAGAAGGCGAACCAAATTACCAATCATAAGCCGCTCCACCAAAGGAACAATCCATTGAGGATAAGAGCTCAACTTCGCCCAGATCGCCGTGAAAACTTCCACAAATTAACTTGGCCGCCTTGATCATATTGCTGTCGCCCGTTATCCTCCAGAAAGATGCTCTCCAATGGCTCTCCTAATCTTCTCACGCTCCACTCACCCACATCCCCATTTACCTTCCTATCCCCCATACTCCCACTCCGAAACCACTCACATTCCCAGCACTCTGTCCCTCCGCTATAGCCCTCCCTGCAATCTTCTCCACCATATTCAAAAAGACGTCGAGAAAAACGATCCCGGATTCATCACAGAATCGAACAACGCTAAGGGCTCCATCCAATGCTGAGTAGGATTCTCGGTCAATGGTTGACCGTATTCTGATGGCGCCACGCAGAAAATGATCTGGGCTACGAATTCAAAGCACTGAACCCATTTCCTACGTTGTTGACGTCCATGCTGAAGCGGCAGAAGGGAGAGAACTTGGATGAAGCAGGTAAACGGTTCTTTAGCACACAATGGCAAAGGGGAGAAAAAAGCAAACACGCACTGGATGTACATATAAGGGTCCCATGCTGGGCTTCGTCTCCGTTATCCTTGCCTCGCCCTCAGAATATCAGTCAAATTAGTAATTCCTCCAACATATCCTTGCATCACTCAGAAAATACGCGGCCGAATCCATAAAGTAGTGCCCAGTCCCTTCCCCATTCCCACCACCGTACTATGGGCCCTCCTCCACCACCACCGCCACCTGATCCCCTGGAAGTAGGACCCGCAGGTGATCAAGGGGAACCAAAGGACGAAGAGGATGGGGATGGAGGCGGGATGATTCGTCCATCAATGATCGCCTTGATGGAAGGATCAGATCAGGGGAAAGCGATGGGCTCTCAGGATGCAGGGAGGGGTGAGAAGATGAGCGGTTGAGACGAAACGGATGGGTCTTCGAGAGTCGGATATGCAGCTGGTGGGCGGGTTTGCGTTTGTAGACATTTTGCGATGTCATCTTATAGAGTGGAAAAGCCAAAGGACCCAGATTATGTTATAGAGTCCATTGGTGGCAAACGAGGGTATTGGAATCAGTAGTAGTGGTTACGTTAGTTCGAGCGGTGTGCATCCGGGATATATACTGTGTGCCAAGCCGAGTCTGACCGTTCGAGTTCATCGGAGTCGTCGAGGTGACAGGAAAAAGGTGAGACACCTTGACACAGCCATCAAGACCAGGGCACCATCAAGCGTGACGGGCAAGAGCATCACCAACTCCCAACAAATGCCCTTGGCACGCTGGCTGGGATTGTGGGGTTGGGGCAAACTCCGCGCCGATCAAGTGGAGTCCGAGGCTTTTTGCGTTATGGAAAATAAGCTGCTACCAATGCTATGTATGCCAGGGTGTCGTTTGAACCTCAGGTAATGGAACGAATTCAGTTGCTTAGCTAGGCTCTGCTTTCACCAGGGGGATCTCACACACATCGGACTTACCACTCTCTTCGAACGCAATGGCACGGCAACAGGGTGTACTGCTTATTGGGACAAGAGTCCGAAGCTTGTTGCGTCTCTTACAGTGATGCGTCACGAATGTTCGACCTTCACACTAAAATGTGGACCTATCAATGGAGTCTTTTCATCGCATCAACATTCAGCATCCATCAATAGGCAGGACTCCAGCCTCTATGACTTCGTAATAATATATAATCCATCAAACCTTGACGTCGTTGCTTACGATAGTATGCAGAAACATTGAACCAGTAGAAGAAAGAGGAATGAGCAACCTTCATATTGAGATTATGAGTTGCAACTGCGATTTGTTATGGGCGTAGTGCCAGTAATTATTCTATCAATAATAAAAATCGGGGTTGGACCGGACTTGGGTTGCTCAAACATGGATCATTTGTGCCTCGGAATGAAGTCCAAGATTGGAAAGAGCTTGACGTAGATTTTTAAGTGAATGGGCCAATCCCGAGGTATGTGCTCCTGGGTTAATTTCAACCAGTAGGCGTCGGATCTTGACACTTTCTTCAATGAATGGGAGCGCCTCTGAGTACCGTCCGAGATTGGAAAGAGCAAAATATAGATTGCTGAGCGAGATGGCCAAATCAGGTGTGTATGATGCTGGGTGAACATCAACTAGCTCGCGATACAGTTTGACACTTTCTTCAACGAATGGGAGCGCCTCCGAGTGCTGTCCGAGATTGGAAAGAGCACCACGGAGATTGTCAAGTGAGCCGGCCAAATGCAATGTGTATGATTCTGGGCAAACGGCAACTAGGTCACGCCGGAGTTTGACACTTTCTTCGATGAATGGGAGCGCCTCTGAGTGCCGTCCAAGTTTGGAAAGAGCAACATATAGTTCATTGAGTGACAGGGATAAATGCGGGGTATAGGACACTGAGTCCACAGAAAAAAGGTAACGGCACAGTACAACAGAATCGTTTACTGCATCAGCTGCCTCCTGGAATCTTGACAAAAATATCAAATTCGACGAAAGGTCGGCAAGCACATTGGCCAGTGTGTCGACAGCATCTTTCGAGCTGTGGTCAACAGACAACTGGAAGATCATGAGGTAGTTTCATTAACGCGGTCGACAATCCATACCTTGACCCACTCAGGGAGTGATGAGATACTGATGTAGCCCTCCATTCTCACACAGACTTCCACCCAGCGAGTTGCTTGCTGACTGAGAAACATGCCAACTGACCGATTGAGCTCTTCTGATGGTTCCTGGACTCCTCTGAGGTGATGGACAATATGACGGCATGCATAACGAAAGTGTTCAGATAACTCCTCTGGAGGAATACGCGGCATTTCATCCCTTCGGGACAAGTTTTCAATCAGTCCTAGGCCCGACACGGAGCAAAGATCCTGGTTCAGAATCTCGGCACATCGCAAGGCAATCCCGACATTCTCTATCCTCAAATCTACCAGAGTGCAACCAGGGCCAATGGACCGGAGATCGATCCGATCCACAATAAAGTCGCGGAATGAATGGTGTAAGATGCGAATCGGGATGTGAGGATCCTCAACCCCCGAGAGAAGAGGTGCAAGTTCAGCCAATGCATAACGGACAGAAGAATCGAGCAATGGTGACAAAATCACATCCCAGGCAGTGACCGACAGAGGCTGCTGTGCAGCAACGATTGCCCCCATCACAATTGGGTAGTCGTGCGCAAAATCCTCATCTTCCCAATTACACCTTTTCAAAATCGTTGTGTATAAGCGATCCATCATTCCCTCAGCAGGTACCCTTGAACGTTTGGTGCCAGTATCGAGCAGGCGCCCCAGTGTCCTCATAGGATCGTTGCTGTTCGTCTCCATGTAGAGGAAGATTGTGCTGACCCAAATAAACAAGCCATTTGCTCGTTCCAAGATCTCCTGCACTTTTTTGTCCTCATCCTGAAGATTATCGCGCAATTCCGGATGCAATTTCTTCAGCTTTTGAAGCTGGAAACTTATGTATGTCGAGCAGTCCTGCACGTTTGTCTCATCCGAAAGATCAATAGTGAGTCGATTGATAGGGTAATCGGGGGAGAGGGAACGATTTACGAGATCAAATTGTCTCGATGTGATAAAGAATTTTATCGAAGATGGTAGCTTGGGCACCTCCTCCCTAAGGATTTCGGCAAGGGGTAAAAACACATTTTTGTCACACTCGTCCAAAGCATCAATGATGACGACCATAGAATGACCGCAAGGTGGAGGTGCACGGAGGAGAGGCGAAGCCACCAAGTTCTCGAATTGCTTCGCAAGTGAGGCTGTTGGGAGAGAAGGATCTATTCTAAGAGCAGAGATAATGGAAGTGCGGTAAACAGGGTCGTGGTCTGCTAGGGCTCGAGCTATACCGATGAATAGGAAATCAGGCCGCGCCCGTTCACCCGCTTTAAAGAAGAAGTGCAGTAATAGGGTAACGTCCCCTTCGTTCGCACATCGTTCTGCTATCGTGAGCGCGATTGAAGTCTTGCCAGCACCAGCCACAGCAGTCAGTAGCATCAGCCGATTCTGACTCTCCCCAGTGTTGCGACACCATGTCATGATACGCTCAGCAAGATCAACCCTAGTGCCTTCTAGGCACGCCTGAGTAGAATCGCCAAGGGCAATACGAGGGAATCGTAGACTCTCGAGAATTTTATCATCCTGTTGGCGACGTTCCATGGCCGCTAATTTTGCACCGGTCATCAAGTTCGTCCGAAGCTGCATCGACCGAAAATCAGAATGATTGTGGAACGATACTACATATAAGGAAAGTTACCTGAAACGATGCCAATGCTTTGTCAAAATCTTTCTTGAGGCTATTGATCCTTCCTGGGTCTCGCAAGTACGAAACTGCATTTATTAGGGCCGGTCGCTTCTCTACTTTTTCTCGTCTTCCTTTGATTTCAGACTCAATCACCTGTAGAGCGCTGGAACTTGATGTTCAAAACGATAGCAAAGACCACCAGAAACAAATACAACATACTTTTTGAGCTTTGTGGCACTCTCCATCCACGGGTTTGCCTCTTCCGCTGACGCATCGTAAGATTGTATGGCTAAAATCACGTCGACCACGGTATCGGCCAAGTATTGACCGAAATCAACCCATTCCTTCTTGTTGTCTTTGAACTTCTACGTTGCCCGAACTAGTGTGAGCTTTCATCATGGTCAAACACAAATCGTTGCCAACCTGGACCTCGTCGAGGATGGAGAGTGCACCGCCAGTGGCCATCTTTAGAGGGGGACACCAATCAGCCGTAGCATTGACGACCTTGAGAATCGGGATCGCTATTTCAACCCCTTGCGCGAGCAGATCATCGATCTTATGCCTGAGAGCTTCAGCCCCTTGCTGCGCCGACATGGTCGATAGCGGACAAGTGGATGGAGGAGGGGAGAACTTTGGGCGTCAAACATTCAGAGCCACGAGGCCTCCGTCTGATTATGGAAGGAAGGGTATAATGAATACTTCTAGCCGACACGATCCGATATCAACGCGAATTCTAGCGAGCGCAGTCGGCATGAGACTCCGAGTCGGACAGATGATGACATCAAGTCTTGGCTATCTATTGCGAGAGAAGAACTGCAAGCAGCACAAGTGTAATTGGGAAGGCGTGAATCCGACATGAACCATTTATGGAATACCATACTGAGGCATCAGTCAGGGCTGGCGGTAAGCGCCGGTTGTGGCTGCACACACTTCGGTGGGGGCCAGGACGTCATCTCATTGCTCATCATGTCAGAGCAATCAGCTTTTATATGAATCTTTGGTTCCAGGCGAGTGGGCGTCGGCTGTGCGTCCAAGCCGAACAGCCCAACGGCCAATCATGTTCCAGCCATCGTTAAAATCTTTTCTTTTGATCCATAGACAGCGCCCTGAAACTATTCAACGTGCGCCATACTACGCACCACTTCACGTTCCGTAAGCGTCCCACGGCACCTCAGTTGGCCGTGGGGCTTTTACAGTGGGGCCAGCACTGTTCCCCTTGTCCATGGCCCGATGGGAGACTTTGATCGTGCACCGGTCCGATTACTATCAGTGAAGAAAGACAAATGAAAAGGAGCGTTCGGGAGCGGGAAAAATATCGTAAGGATGATTGCCGTTACGGTCAGGGTAAGCATCATAGGGACTACCTCGCGTCTATGTACTTCTGGGCATGGTGAATGATTGTAATTGACAGATTATGCGATTTGACGAAGAGTTGGGCATTTACCGTGAGAATCCCATATGCAAATAATTTTTCTTGTCTTTGCATGGGCCACTGTACTACTATAGTCATCGGTAAACTTCGAACCCTTGATCCCCTCCGTGCCTTTCTTCGCCCCAAATCTTAAGGTGATCCCCAGTTCCATCCAATCGACTCGATCTAGATTCCGTCACTCTCATCCTCACAACCCCAGATACCCGCGTCCGTGGAAAACGAACAATGAAGTGAGATATGATCTGAAGACTGTCTGTTGATACATGCGACCCGGCCACGAGTAAGGCAGAATGCGTGGCGTTGGACGGTGGGTAGTGTAAAGAAATGGTGTGGAGCTTGTATGCGCGAGGTAGACCATAAGGGATGGATTAAGGAAAGATCTAGCTGGAAGCAGAGGGAGGACGGGTTGACGTCAAAGCCTGTCAGCAAAATTAGGCTGAACATAATCCTTGGGGAATTCGCCCTGCCTGGCAGAAAGGATTGGGCGGGGGCAGACAAGAGGATTACATGTGAATATGGATCGCAACGTACATCCTGCCTTTCGTGAAGGATTCAAAGAGATTGCAATGCGCGAGAAGAGGGACAAGCCTCAATCCATCCACGGGGCATTTGAGCCTTAGACCTCGGTTCAAAAGTGGGGGAGTGCAGGAATTCTTGTCTCCAGAGGACCTGGAAGGAAGAACTGAGCCTAAGTCGAGTCCAGTTCGTCTACATCTTTGACTGCATTATGCAGTATCCTTCCTTCCGCCGCTGCAAAGCTGGTCACAGATCAGACTGGGCATTCACAAGTAAAAAGGGTTGCATTAGCCAAGTTTTTCCCTAGACGTCCCAGGATGTTTTAGGACGCCCTGAAGTTTTCATTGGTATCTTCTGCCATCAGGACATGCCTGGACGCCCACTGTGTAGCCTTCATGCCGTATTTGCAGGTCCTCATACATGGCGAACTGGTAGGCACTGGTAGGCAGAGTTACCAGCGTTCATTGGAATAACGGATGGGGCTCTTGTGATGGCGCTGCAATGAAAACCAAGCAAAATTTCAGCGTCATCTTTCTCACAAGTCCCACGAATTGTGGACCGGAAGTGACTTTGCAAAATCCTAGTCGATGCCGTGTGTCCCAAAAACTCTCGTTGAATCAGGCCAAACAACGTCCTTTCTTCATATCGGACCGTTCCGCGACGCATGGCCATGGGGGACACAAGGAGGCAGCGCTCGTATGAGAATTGAGTATCGACGTAATTGTTGGATCGATACGGAACCATACGCCCGTCGGGCCACAGGACGCCAGGGGAGCCTCTAATCTGGCTTGAAGTAAAATAAAGTACCGACCACTGTTGTCGGCCATATGTCAGTTACTGGCAGGCTGACAAAAATTACCTGCATTGACTCACCACTCCACGGTAACAAGCGTACTGGTCGTGCTCATCAGCGACGTAATCTGAGGCACTAACTATTTCAGCATCTCGAACTGATCGCATCTCCGAGTCCATCTCGAGGAGGTCCCTGTGCACGCGTCCTAACACGAAGAACTCTTATGCATGGGAGCGTGCAGCAGGGTCAAAGCCCTGCCATGTGGTTGGGTTTATCAGAGCCGTGAGTTTCTGTTGCACCGGCAGGCATGACCAATTAGCCAGTGGTGTTGCTGAAGGGTACTCACCCGAAAAATTGGACAATCGACTCCATACTTGGACGCTTACTGACATCAAAGCTAAACAATCCTGAATATGCCCTTCTCAAATTGATCCGAATTCTGCCACTTGTAAGGTGGTTGTCTATGAAGGATATTATCCTGTGCCCACATGTTAGTGTGGGATAAGGAGGTATTACCAACACTGATGTGCAGCCGAACGCCCAGACATCATTCGCTTTGTCCCGGTTCACTGCATGGCCTTTTAGTAATTCCTCAAGTAATTGCGGAGATATGAAAGCAGGGGCCCTGCAGCACTAGACGCTTGGGTGCGTGTGGTCGCGTCATGTAGGATGCAGGCCAGACCAAAATCACACAGCATTGCACGGCGCACCGCATCGACTGCAGCGTTCGCCTAGGTGAAATCCTTCGTGATTGACGTGTATATGGGAGATCGAAAAGCGTACGGGCTTAATATCACGGTGAACAATGTTCTCTGCATGAAGGAATACTAGCCCTTCGCAAACATCCCGAGCCTAGAGAAGCGGTAAGTACGTGACACAAAATCCTGACGGAATGGAGAACCCCCAAAAAAACGGCGGTCAGCTTCGGGATGATTCTTTAAATAGCGCGTAATATCACGGCCCTCGCACCGAACGGAGATATCTTCTTCGCGCTTCAATCTCTTTGATTTGAGAGTGTCATGGGCTCACGTCTAAGTATGGGAGAAGTACACGCACTCTGGGGTATTTTGCGCATGCGGGCTCAGCACTGACAGAGTTGGATGGTTCGATCGTTTTTAGAAATTTGACGCAGATGCGTTCCTAGATATGCAATGTCATCTGCTAACGATTATATCCACAAACGCCATTGTGCACATACCCCTTTATACATGCCAAGATAGACATCACCATAATCGCCACTGCCCTTCGGAAGTTGAGAGATTCTAGTTATTCGACCGTTGAGATTGCGATCATCGATCGCAGCGAGTTCTTCAACGAGCTCCCAGGTTGACATTGGGTTGAAGGCCATGGACAGCGCATCCTAAGAGTGCCCAGGCTTGAATTCAATTCGTACAAAAAGATATCATGGTTCAGAACTGTCGAACGCGAATAAACAGGAAACATTGAATGTCATGGGCGTGTATACGTATGAGCTGAGGCGATCGAAGACCATCAGTGGCATCCGTCATGAGCTTGTTCCTTTCTCCAAATTAAGCCTCCAATCCACTTTCCGAACTCGATGTTTGACAAACTGACTGATGACTTGTTTCCACAACCTCTCAAGTATTGAAGCCTCTTTCCTAGAGATACACTTCTTCTATCGAAAAAACGTATCCACCAATGTCCAGTGAGTAATCCACGCTGAGGCGACTCCCCGGAAGAAATGGCTGCGGTTGAGGCCAATGAATGTGTGGCGGTGCTTCGCGGCCTCCGCATGCCGTGGAGTGCAGCCCTCAGCCTGGATCCCTACTTATCAATCACATATATGCCGGCAACCACAAAGCACTGCTCGAGGTGCAACACGACAAAGCAGTTAGAGGAGTTTGGTGTCAACAAGAACGGCATTTTGGCTCAATGCTTGGCGTGTGCGGCATATAATGCCTCTCGCAAAGCAGTCGAGAGGGAAGAAGCTGTTCTGGCAACCGTTTCCGATCTTCCCTTCCTGAGGGACTTTGAGAGGGAATTAAGGACCGCGAAATGTAGCGAGGGGCTCAGTCGTAAGCTCCTCGTGGCTGCCAAGGACGGTATGACTGTCAAGCTAGACACATCAATGTTGGATGCATCGAGTATTGCGATGGAGGATGCATCCAAGAAGATCGGAGACGAAATAGCATTGAGAGTGTGGATGATGACTGGCTATAGATGGATGTCAGTCAATGGATTTTTGTCCATGCCGATATCCTCAACTGTGCTAATATTGACTGTTCGCTTTCAGTTATAAAGACTGCAAACGGGGACTCCGGGGATTTCCTGGTCCCAAACGTGCTGTCCAATACCGGTATCGATGCTCTCAGGACCGAGGTGCTCAAAGGGCACCCAAAAAGGTTGCAGACGCCTCGAAGCAACGTGCGCGCAAAAGTAAACCTTGCTTTGACTGTAAAGGCCGGCTGAAGATCACGATTCAAGTTGTCCACGAGACTTGGACGGCGAAGATTAGCCTCGAACACCACATCAGCCATGCTCCCTATGAGTTTAAATCGAGTACTGGTAGCACCAGCCCTTCTGGTGACGACGGCTCGGAACAAGATGACTCAATGCAATTCCACATCCCCAGCTTATAGACGATGTGTAAGGTACATTTTCCAATTATTACCTCGCTGCTTAACTGTAAAATCTTTCCAGATAGACAACTACACCTTATTTCCTCCCATAATTCCGTTTCATCATGTGTATCGATCTCCCATAGCCCTAGTCAATGGCCTGCTCATAACTGATCATTCATGTTCACGCACCCCTAACTCTTCTCGCTTCTTAGTTTCATTGGGATGCGCATAATCTGCATCTATACACAGGAGTAGACCAACAACACGTACAAGGGTAGCAAGTAAATCAAAACTAGATTTGTTCGCATTGTCCCCAAGGGAAGAAAAGTGGAAAGGAAAGAGAAAAGGGAAGGGAAAGACTAGTGCTTGGTCCAAAGCCAATCAAGAACCACACCAAGTTTGAAAGGACAATCAATAAAAGTCAAAGTCAGCATGCATGGGCAAGGTACGCCTATCTTGGATCGATCATGATGCAGATATAGGAATGACAACAAGAATCAAGGACGACATCATTAAGTCGAGTGTAAAGAAGCGAAAGGAAAAAATAAGTCCACCGGGGGGAAGCTATTGAGGTAAAGAAAGCAAGAGAGGAAAGTCCATTCAGAGTCCTTGAAAGGGGGGGAGGGTATACGGAAGAAGGTAAGAGGGAGAACAAGTCCTTCGTTTGGGTACAGTCGGGAATAAAACAGTAAGCGAAAGTAAACGAGGGATGGTAACCCATAAGTCACATCCGATAAACTTTGCGATTTGAGGAGGGATTTTAGCATCCTGGGCCGTATTGCTCCACTAAGCACTGGCAGCGAGACCAACACGTTTGCTGGTTGCATCGTATACAGAATACTAACATCCAACATTCAGTCGACGCGTATTCAACTCTCCAATAGACAATACGGTAAGGAACTCACATAGTGCTCAAGGAACTTTTGCCCAAGAATGAACTCAATATCAGCTCCATAACCGATGGCTGCTAACCATGCGAAGTAGCGAGTGTCACCATCAAGCTCAAAGTAGTCTACATGACCGATACCAAGCAAGGTCAGTGAGCATTCTGAAACGCTGTCTAGAGGTACTGACGGTACAAGAATCTGGGGATAAGGTATTGATCTGGCGTTAACGTGAAGTCTCGGCCCCCGATAGTAATGGAAAGAATCCCCCTAGACACCAATCCATTCGTCAGTCCATTACCTGGGACCCACTCCGCTAGAATACACTTACTTAGGCTTAGTCCCAAAAGCCAACAAACCGCTGGAGGAGTCTCGGGAGCCATTGTTCGCGTTGGCAAACTTGTAGTACACGGCATCAGGAAGGTAGGTCAAAGTAGTTCCGGTGTCGACGACTGTGTTATAGGCCGATCAGTCGAGCTTCAAATAGCAGCAACAGCAGAGGGGGTGCGGGAAATAGGGAGTAGAGGAGACGTACTGGCATGAAGATTCCTCCCAATGACCATTCCGCTATTCGAAACTTTATTGATATCGATCCCCCAGAACTCCTTGTAGTGGCTGCTCCTGGTAATCGGGGCGTACTTCAAAACACCTTTATACTTCGAATGATCTGCACCCCCAAGACTGATCTCGCCATTGTTTTGATTGGTGTTCTATAATCACATTTCGAAATTGTTCAGGCATAGATATTCCGAGAACTAGATTCAACGGGCAGGGAGTGGAAATTGGACTCACGGCCCGAGAGAGAGGCTTGAAGTAAACCCCAAGAACGTTGGCGCTGATCGCTTTGGATGCGCAGAGGTTATCTAGCACAGTGGGGACGATATCCCCGCCTTGAACAACCCCGGAGCTCAGGCTTGTCGGACCCACACCAAAAATCCTGTTGAAGTAGTTAGATCTCAGTGAGAATCGAACGACCAACAATGAAGGGTACCCGTCTACGCCTCGGAAGCCGAGTGTGAAGTTCGCTACACCAAGACTTTGACGAGCCACTTTCAAGTTCCCGATCCTAACCTAAAGTCGTTGCAGAAAATCACACAATGATGAGCTGCGGCTACGTATGGATGGCACTAGTTAGCACACCTCATCTATGTACTGGTAGCCCGAAGCGCGGCCACTGCCATACTGTATGGCAAAGGAGCGTCCTGTTGCGTGTGAGGTTGTGGTTGTGACGTATTTTCCCGTGGCATTTACTAGGAGACAGATGCCGAAGGCAAGAGTAAGCGATGAGAAGCCGTATTATGTGCAAACTAACCCCATCTGGGATGAGATGTGAATATCAACAAGAACCAGATTCAGAAGCTGTCGCTGTACGTACAAATTAGATGACTTCAAATTTGAGAAAGCATATGCATCAGTCTAAGGGTTATTTGAACGTTCGAGGTGAGCACGTACGCCGGTGTCCTATGACCAAACAGTAAACACAAGTTTAGATAAAAACGACAGCAAAACGTACGAGGATCAATTGAACGATTTGATTGCCAATGGTCCTGCAGTGCTAATAATTAGAGATGTGGACAGCATCCCAAACAGTCCAGCCTCACGGGGTAACAACGTAGACCTTGTCTTTGAACATAATAAGCATCGCAGGACACTCCACATTTGATAATCAAACATACTCTCATTCGTGGCGGGGACAGAAGAACTCATGGATCTGGCCAGCGTTGAGCTGTAGCCCCCGGCAAGGTTGGTAGAAACAACAGGGAATTTAATAAAGTTTGTGTCCGTATCAAAGAGTGGAACTGCTTGAGCAGCAGCCAGAAAAGCCGCAAATACTGTTGGTAAAAACATCATCCAGGCACGTTAGGTGAAAGAGCGACGAGGGGGAGGGGATAACCAAGAGTTGGACAAGGCAGGGTTTTTGAGGGATTTCCTTTTTGACATCACATCAACGCGTTATTTATATACTTGTTTATTGTGATCGATATATGTATGGATGAATGCGGATCCACGTTCTGTGTGTGTTCGGGCCGTTTTATGCGACAGTGGGTCTGGCGTTTATCGGCGTGTAGTGAAACATGTGGCATCGCTGTAGCGCTATGTAAATGCGCCTGCAACCATGGGCATGGCCAAAGAGAACAAGCGTTGCCGTCTTTCTGAGTTTCTCACGGTCATGATTGCCTTCTGACTATCGTCGGTCTTGCAATCAACCGCATTTCCGGTGGCAATATTGGTCCACGAGGCTCCGATTAGGACCTGGGGGCCGCGGATGGTCCTCCGAAGTGGATCGTGGATCCAACCTTTTTAAATATACACAATGACTAAGTATACATTCGATCACACCTAGGAAGGAAATAACACGTGATTTGACCCCCTCAGCTTTTTGCGATCCAAAATTGCCAAATCGTTGACCTGTCATCTAAACCATAGCTCGTTGGTTCTTCATGTCCGAAGTTATTGAGGAGCCAGCTCCGGTACCAGTATCTGATGCATTACAGTCCAATTCCATGGCCGTGGATGACGATGCGCAAACAGCAGAAGCTTGCGTGAAGCAAAGTACGACTTTTCTCCTGGATCCGAAGTCCTGCTTTTCCATCGATGCTCATTTGTAATTCTAATGTGATTTTAGTCGAATTCTACTTTTCGGATTCCAACCTGCCATACGACAGGTTCATGTGGACTTTGCACACGAAGAACGACTCGCATTACGTCCCTATCGCCACCATCGCATCCTTCAAACGAATGAGAGGGTACCTAGCCAAAGGTGTTGATTGGATTTCCGATGCTCTCCGGGCATCACACCTGCTTGAGGTAGATGCTAAGGGTCAGAATGTTCGAAGGAAGGCAGATGTTAAGCCTCCGGTGAATGTCTTGGATCGCAGTGTGTACGTCAAAGGCTTTGGTGAAGATGAAAAGGGCGGAGATCTGCAGAAGGAATTGGAAAAGTTTTTCTCCAAGTGGGGCACTATCGTCGCCGTGCGATTGAGGAGGGATGACGATAAAAAGTTCAAAGTCAGCCTGTCTTCACCACTTAACCTGTCCGTTTGTTCTAACCACCGTTTTATGATGTATCGTAGGGTTCTGTCTTTGTGGAGTTCTCGGAACAAGTGTCTGCGACAGCATTTCTCGAAGCACCAGAATCCGAGAAGCGATGGAATGGCGACTCTCTTCTGACTTACTCCAAGTATGCACTTTCCCGTGCTCCTTTCTCGTCGTCCCTCACAGATCTCGCCCAGAGAAAATTACTGTCTAATGAAAATGAAAGAAAAGGGCATCAAAGGCTCTGTCGAGTCTCTACGACACCAACCTAATCTCCCCTCACGTCCAGCCGGTCAGCGCCGATTCGATGCCTTCGCTCTGATGGCGGAACAAGAGACCAACAACAAAAATAAGTCTGCTAAACAGCAAACTACCCCTCAGGTGGTGGTTACACTTGGCTCGGAAAGTATGAAAGTTGAGGCAAATGGGACAGTCCTTCCCGAAAATATAAAATATCCACCAAATAGTGCCATCAAGTTTTCAGGTGCTGGGCCGAATAAGGCCAAATTCGATGAGATCAAGGTGATTCTTTCCCCTATCCCTTCATGGAGGTGATCCCATCTCATATCTATGTTCTCGTAGAAAACGCTAAAGCCAATCTCGAACACGAACGTGTATATCGAGCTTCAACAAGGAGCGAGCGAGGGTTTTATTGCATTCTCGTCTACAGTGACCGAGGAGATGCTGGCTAAAATTAAGAAGGCTGTTCCGTCGATTGGTGGGTCGGAGGTCACCTATTCTATCGCTCCAGGTTGGTCAGGTCGCCAATTCGCCCGTGCTTACACGCTCATTTGAGTGCTCAAATATAGATGAAAACGTCCGGGAAATCCAGACAAAGCGAATTCAAACTGCTGCCAAACTGAATGCGGAGAATGCCAAGGGGAAATCTTCTAAGGGTGGGAAAGGTGGTCAGCAGAAGGGAGGGAATAAGCGGAATACTGGCGCTGGCGCAAAAGGCTCCAAACCACAAGCAATGCAATTGGATGCACCCCCAAAGGTTGCGTCAGCTGGAAACGAAACCAAAGCCACTGGCACTGAATCTGTGCCTCCGACGCCGACTACCGCCACAAAGCGGAAAATGGACGAGGCCGAAGAGTCAGACTCGACTGGGGGTAAGAAGGCCAAACTAGACAGTGGGACCGAGGCATCTTCGTAGCTGCTGTATCGGCAGCCACCACTCGTTGGACCGCCGCTCTCCCGTCTGACTTCCTCGCTTCGACTTCTCGCCACCCATCACATATATCCTCTGCGCCCCCTTTCGCCTTCATGATGCCTATGTTTCTTTTGCCCTCATACTTGGAAAAATGGGAAACGTGGATTGTAAAACATGATCAATTAAAAGCAGTATGCAGCTTATGTATTGGATCGAGCCTGAGCCCAGTGTGCGATCAAGATGAGGACTGTACTGTTTGTACTGTTTGATGGCCGGTGGCGGGAACAGTCTGGCCAGATGCTTCGACTCGAGTGTCTGTTGGTAGTTCTGTCGGCAGTTCGAAATCCCAAGAATGTAATATTTCATAGACGTTCGACTTCCCCCCTTCATCCTTCCTCGAAGAACTGGGATGATCGTCAGCTTTGTTCCCAGCCCTATGACTTCTATACAATGCAAAGCTCGATGCTACGAAGCTCTGCGTTACGAAACCGTGAAGAATTGGATCCTCCGTGCGGGAATTCTGAGTGGCCCCCCTTCCCCGAGCACGCCTGATCCGAGCTAGGGTTATGTGAGGATGGTACGGCCGGTTATCCCTTGGGAAGGAACAGTGTGTGTGAAGAGTGCTCTCCACGAACGACGCGAGTGAGCTGAGTGCCGGGGTCGGTACGACGTTTGCGTAAACAACGCCTGTTCTTGAAAAGATGCCTACTTTATCGACCGATACGTTGAGTGTAGCCAGGCCATCATTTCCGTGGGCGGAGCTACTGTGCCGTTCCCGAAGCGCAGTGGTATGGGAGAGCGAGGCAATGATAGATGGGACCCGCGCTTCATCAACCTCACCAATAAACTTAAGGGTAATGTGCAAGCTTTCGACGGGAGGGATAGATGCCTTCGGGTACAATTCTACATTAGCTCGCATTAAGGCGGAGAGGTTCCCTGCTACATTTTGAGGCAGAGGAATGCCAACAAATAAACGCATGGAGGATTGGTTGTTTGTTCTAGGGACACAAATGCGCTACTCTGTAGGGTCCTCTATTTAGTATTATTGCAAATTGCTTCATAACTTGGGGTCCTCAAATTGCGCCTTTATTTTTATTCTTCCGTTCCTCTTTTTTAATCCTCTCTTTGTACCCATACAATCCAACGTCTTCTCGGCTGGAGACTTGTATACGCAGCCGACGATCCTTCCGTCAATTTTCATAGAAATGGGACTATAATGGATGGTCCTCGCTTTTATTCTTCCGTTCCTCTTTTGAATCCTCTCTTTGTACTCCATCCAAATTCCCGCTACTCTGTAGCGGGTCTTGTAAATTTTTCGACCTTGATTGAATGCGTTTGATGAGAAGGTCCTCTATTATTGCCAATTCGGGATAACCCAGGGTCCTCCCAACAATTTCACTTACAGTATACCGCACCACTCTCATGCCGCTTACTCTGCCTTCCCCCCCTGTACTATCGTTCCACCTCGCTGCTTCTCTCATGCTTTCTGGACCACTGCTACCTTCCAGTTCCTCCACCGATGTCACCAGTGAGTAACTCAATTTCTTCTTACTCTTTCTCTTAACAGAATATCCTTAGCTCCCTGGTCTTACAGCCTTTTACCACCTGCCGAATTGCCATCTTCTCACCAGTTGATTCCCCTTGCTGAAAACCACGGTGTTCCTTTCAACGGGCACTGTGTCGCATATTCGTGACCGTTTACTTGCGCATATTCTGTTTGGTGACTGTTACCAAATTCCCATCGGGCCCTCCCCTTTCCCCGCGTGTGTCCACCTTTGCACCCGATTTCCGGATTATGACAGATATCTTCATGATGTACTTACCTTTTTGCTCTCCTCTGCGATGACATTTGTAACAGACCTGAAGCGTAACGCTGGAGGGAGACATTGTCGCACACCCTCCGGACACAACAGCATATGTTGTAACAGGGGATGATTGGGAAAAGGGTGGGGTGTTTATAAGTGGTTGGATCTTCAACCCAAATATATTTTGCAACGACGGAGGACGGAAGAGTGGCGGGACCTGCCGCGTCAGGCGGCGTCCACCAGTTATACATGTCGTATCGAGCGAAAAGAGTGGTGGGTTCTGCCGCGTCAGGCAGCGGTCGCCAGTTATTGGAAGGGTGAATGCGGGCGCCTCCGTAGGCGGCGGGAACCGCCACCAATATAAATATATAGGCATGTATATATAGCGCATCTCTCTCTGTTCACGGTTCCCCCAATCACATCAAGGGGTTGGGGCCAGAATCTCCTTCCGACCGCCCGTCCAAGTGCCCACAAGTCTTGTTCTTCTGAGATCACTATCACTGACCAGTGGCACAACCACACGCCACTCGCCCTAAACTGAGTCAACTCTGTGGCAAAAGCCTCATTTTTCCGCTCGCTCTCTGCAGTAAACGCTGGCCGATGCCTCTAGAGGTGTGTTCCTTATGGGCGACATTTCCACATTGACTGACTTGAATGAAAGGCGTTATGGTGGCGGATATAGCAGAGCCTGTGGCCTCATTCAAGTCCGTGGGCCTGAGTCGTCGATCATTCCCTGAGCGATGCGTACCAGACACGCTATACTACATCTCTCTTTATTTATGCGACAAAGATCGAACAGCGCTCTCATCTACTTGTCGGTACACCTACCTTGCTCTTCTACAAACTCGATTCCGCAAGGTCAAGTTTTTTCATCCTCCACTTCGTGATGATAGGAGGGAGGTCGGAGCCATGCAGCGTCAAGCCAAGCTCGTTCGGAATTGCACAATTCATTTTTATTACTGGTCATTTCCCGACGTGTCCCCTCCAATTCCATCTCACATTGATGCGCTGCCATCCATGGTCAATCTCACGGAACTTACTCTGGACGCCGGAGAAGGGCGCAATCGTGGCGCGGAGTTCATCAGAGACATGTTAAAAAAGCCCCCAAGCTTCAGGCTCAAGTCTTTAACGACCAATGTCCCGTTCACTCGACGAGCCGTGAAAGGATTTTTGCTGCTGCACAACGAAACGCTCACAGTATTGAAGTATCTCGTTCGAAAGCCCTTGGAACTTCCACCTGAAGCGTTGCCTCACTTGGAATTACTAGTCAGTTACGAGGAAACCGTCAATCTCATTGCGCCAGGGCGAAGCCTTCGCACGCTATGCCTTGCTGAGGATGGATCGCTAGGCAAGGAAGTTTCGGATGGACACGCCATGGTTGGGTCTCGATGCGCTAGGCATTTTCTGGCGGCCCCGATGTCACACTAGCTCAGGCTCACCAGCATTACATTCGTACAGTACACTTTACAGAACGCACAGGATAGTCCGCAGGATCTATGTATGCTATCATTATAGTGCCATTTCTCTATCTCCGTACTACTATAGCCACAACGGATATTATCCCCCTATTCAGAGCTTTGCTCCACCTGAGTCAGCACCGGTGCCGTGACTGGGTGCGCTAGTAGAGTGTAATGCCACTTCCTCGCATGGTGTTAGCTCGCTCTTATGGGACGACTTGAGACATATGCTTCTATCTGATTGCACGCGCAGAACGGTGTTGAATTTAGGTGGCCGTGTGCCCACTCGCCTGCCCAATAGCTCCTTTTGGTTTCTTGCCTGATTCCCTGGCGTCACAATCCCAATCTTCGTTTCTCTGGTACCTGGAAATAGCCGCGAATATATCTTAGTTCACTCAGCTGAAACAAGCACAAGAACGGATCTTCCCATATAGTTTAGCGCAAATATTCCCTGTGATCTTTCATTCGGCTGCGACATAAAATTTGGGATATAGGAAACAAATGGCAATCACATATCCTAGCTTAGGAACGACATCGGTGCTCGTTGGGTGTCGGGTCGATGTGCACGGATGCAGTACGTAACCGTTCGGCGTCACTTCCCCCCTTCCCGAAGCGAACTGAGTTACGCGACACGAGGTTGGTACCTGAATGAACAGTTCTGGTGAAAATAAAAGACTGAAATGAAGTTGGAGCAAGGACCCGGAAGGCCAGGTGATCTGTTTAAGCTCCCCTCGACATGTCCTCTGACACCCTTGACCCATTTTGTGGTTCAATCGTCGCAGTTAGCGCCGAGGCTCTCGAAAGCGACACCGCTAACCATAACCTACGTTGGGGCGACTACTTTATCAAGTTTGGAGATCCATCGCTCCTCTACGAGGCCAAGACACAAGCTTACCTTTACGAGTTGGCTATCCGAGACCCAGACGCACCAATCATTCCGAGGGTTATCACTTACTTCATCCACGACTATGTCGCATATCTGGTTTCAGAATTTATCGACGCCCCCACCATTGGAACCTGGTTGGAGTGTACGGACCCCAGTCAGCATGCGCTTGGCTACTGCGCGGTTGCGAATGCCCTGGACTGGCTCCGTCGTGTCCCCGCTCCACCCGATACGCTGATTGGCCAATTGGGGGGCGGGCCAGCCCGCCACAAGCTTTTCAAGTTTACCGAAGCGCCACTCAAGTTTGCGAGCATCGGTGCCGTTGAGAGATATGTGAATAAAGTACGGCTACGCTTTGCTTCGTATTTTCAGACAGCCGTTCAACCACGAGTTAATCTACTTAGGCTTGTGAATGGATCCCTTCTAAATTTAGGCCACCGCCTGTCAGTTTCTCCATGGAGAAGTCCGTCTTCATTCAGGCCGATCCCACTGTGGGCAATTTCCTTGTGGTTCGGGGAAGAATAGTCTTGATCGACTTTGAAGACGTCAGCCTGCTCCCAGAATCCTTCTTCACCTACATGATGAACACTACGAACGGCTTTGTCGAAAAGGTCGCCAAGTATTTTCCCGGGGAGCGGTCTCAGAACTTACCAACAATGCAAGCGGTTAAGTGTGTGTTGCAATTACACGGCGGGCCAACCCTTGGTATGTCGTACTCGCTTATTATGGAAATTTCGATTGACGATGGGACCAGGTCTAAACGAACACGGTTACCCGGTTCATAAGTAGTGGTGCTCTGTGCCTCTGTTGCTCACTTGACCCGTGACTCGATTTTCGTACTAACACTTCAGTTTCGATGTAATGGTTCAAACTGGAGCGTCAGTAGTACAGAATCGAATCTCTGGTAGTCGATCCACCGCGTATAGCTTGATTTGTAAACTATCAAGGCATTTGGCAAAGGTTGCACCTGCACGGCTAGATACCTAAGCATTTCCCGATTCCAGTTTACTTTCCAGGATCTAATACCTGGTACCAAGCTACCATAGGACACTCTGCAGTTGTAAGCGATGCTGGGATGTGGAACCGGGGTGTCCACATGCTAATGTCTCGAGGGTATGAGTCTGCATACCGGGGATTTGAACGGTGCTCCGACGATGAGAAGCGTCGATTCCAACCGAAAGTCCGTTTCTGTGCACATGTGCTCACGGGATAAGGTCAAACATGTCAGTGCTGCAAAGCTAGACTTCATCTTTGTGCATGTGTAAGGCGCTCAAGAGCCTATAAGTGTAACATCACATTTCTTGGAAGCGCAATAAATACTAGTTTCCCAAACCAAATTTGCAAGGAATCGTGGTGAATTTCCCAAATCTCTGCTTTAAGTTCTCAACCAAAAAATCGTTCCCACGATACCCTTGCCACCACCAAGGGGTTAAACAGATCCACACCCGGCCTGACTCCCTGGATCACGTCATCAAGAATGTTCGCCACCATCGTATTCTTCTGGCTGGCTTGGTTTAGATACTTCCAATACGCCCTGAATCTAGCACCGTATTCAAGACTGTCTCCTTCCTGCGGTGTTGTGGTTGGGTAGCCATAGTCGAACGAACGATTGAGATCGTAGATGGGGATGGAGATTTGATTTGCCATTGCGAAATAGGAACTTGAGATCGGCAACGAGGTGACGTTGGCAGTATCGGTGGCGTCAGTGATATGCTTGTGCAAAGCAGTGTTGAGGACGACGGCGTTTTCCAACGCCTTCATCATTCCTTGAGCAAACATGGGATTTACAACTAATTGATTCTCAATCGTCAGTTCGCAATTGCGTGGGTTCTAAAAACGGAAAATGTCGTACACATAGCAGAATCCCCTATGGCAACGAAATTGTTGGGTGTGGGTGCTGAGAGATAGTCGATGTACCACGAAGTAGACTTTGATGGCAATAACTGTTAGTACTTCGTGAAACATGGAGATAGATAGGCAGGACGCACCAATTTGGCAGGAAGTATCTGGATCTCATCATCCACCTGATTCTCGAGGAAAAGGTCGAATAATTCGAAAACCCAAAGCGAAACGTCTTTCAGTGCTGGGTTGAGCTCGAACAGCTCCTCATGGGTGTCACGAACAATATCATCGAGTTGAGCGAAATTGCTGGGTGGGGTTACGTCGCCGACGCCAATATAATTGATAAGCACTACGGCATGGGCGCATGTCAATATCACAACGGGCACCAGACTGTAACACAAATAACGCACCTTCGTTATCCAAAATTTTTTCGATAATAATGCCTTCCTTTGGTCCTCCCCCGCTTCCGTCCATGTCGAACATAGGGAACTGGAAGTACATCATTTTCAGCCCGTCCCAATTTCCCCAGTTGGGGTCGCTCCGCGGCACCAACTCGGCAATTCGACGCTTCGACTTTTCGTCCTTCACAGGGATATAAAAGCATCTATACACAGCATTAGGAGAATAGGAGTGTCGAGTATACGGGCCCCAATGGGGTGTTGCGGCAGTCTGTGTAGAACCAGGATTAGAGTGATCGGCACCCGACTGGGGAAGCAACTTCGATGCTATCGCGCTTGCTCCACTGCAATCCGCGAAAAACACACAAGGCAATGTGACGGTCTCAGCTGATTCCATCGAAAGTCTGTAGGATACGGCCGAGATAGAAGCGGGATGTGGCGCAGGAGAAGCATGTAGACCGGTGACAGTCCCTTGAATAACTTCCAATGAATCCCCGGCGTACGAAACAGCCAGTTTACGGAAGATGTCCTCCAATCTAACACCAATGGACATAGCTTAATTCTAGGTGTCCTGAAGGATCCACATGATTACTCACTCGACTCTGTGGTACTCGAGCCCAGGGGGTGTTGCCGTGGTCCTCCAATTCCAGAGAGCGCCGAATATCCAACGTCGGAAGGCAGAGTGAACCTTATAGCCCATCTTTGCGACAGCCTCATCAAATCCCAGGTAAAGCGCCCGGCATGTGATGATTGTCATAGGCAATGGGACATGGCAATGGCCACGCTGGGCAACACGGGTCGCAGTTCTCTCAATGCGGTGATCTGGCTCTATGATGACAATACGTGTGAAGTAATCAGATAAGACCCGAGCAGTAGCGTATCCTGAAATGCTGGGGGGAGGAGTGTAAGGATAAAGAGTAATTAAATGTATCATAAAACGGGGCTCACCTTCCTCCGGCAATCACGGCTGTCCCTTGCACCTTCTTCCCATTGCGTTTGGTGCGGAGCAGTTCGAAATGAGGAAAGACCATCGTCTTATTTATGACATGATTACGGAGCGCTGTCCATGCAAAGAAAGACACGATACAGAGTCCAACCAGGGAATAGGCAATGAAAAGCATGTTTGGTGGCGTTGGGGGATGGGGCGCTCACAACGACCTCGTATTTATGCTAGAAGAAACGCGGATATCCCTGGACCACATAACTTGCAACGAAGGCCGGGGGTTTCATCCCTAACTAGATCGAACTTGCAACCCAACATTGCCACGAAATTCTGAAATACCTTGTGGTCGAATGGCTTATGTCAGCTTCGGAGGTTGCAAATTCTGACACTTAATGCTATTCATTTCGGGATGCAGAGTTTCCAATAAATGCCTGACATTTCATGAACCGATCGTGGGTGCCTGTGCCAACTAATTCTCTCCGCGTCACTATCTGCCATTTCGACATGTCTAACGACGGAGACCAAGCTTTTGACATGAACCTCGACGACCCCGCTTTCGAACTACTAGGGGATAACGTTGCCGTCCCGACCTCATTAAACTTGCCGTATTCCGCTCATCGTGTTTAACATATGAATATTACTTGCAATGATATATAGAAAACCTCGGACTCCACTCGGCAGACCCGGAACTTTCCTCAACAACCCCACAATCCCAGCCAGCGTGTCAAGTGGGGTTGGTGATGTTCTTGCTCGCCACGCTCGATGGTGCCCTTGGAGTGATCTTGATGGCTGCGCCCAGATGTCCCACTTTTTTCCTGGCACCTCGACGACTCCGATGAACTCGAACGCGAGGATGTACTCGGCTTCGCTCACCTAGCCTATATCCCGGACGTACACCGAAACCGCTACTGCTGATTCCAACTACCCTCGCGTGCTACCAATGGACTCTATGACATAACCTGGGTCCTTTGGCTTTACCACTCTATAAAATGACATCGCAAAATATCCACAAACGCAAACTCGCCCACCAGCTGCATATCCGATCTATCCTTGCTTTCGAAGACCCACCCGTTTTGTCTCAACTGCTCATCTTCCCACCCCTCTCTACATCCTTAGGAGAGCCCATCGCTTTCCTCTGACCTGATCCTTTCATCGAAGTGATCGTTGATGAACGAATCGTCCCGCCTCCGCCTCCATCCTCTTCGTCCTCTGGTTCCCATCTACGCTTCAGTCCAATCCGTTGGGTCGCCGCCTGCGGGTTCTACTTCCAGGGGACGAGGTGGTGACGGTGGTGGAGGAGCACCTATAGCAAGTAATAGTACCGTGGCAGGAATGGGGAATACATTATGGATTTGGACGCGTATTTTCTGAGTGATACGAGGATAATATGTTGGAGGAATTATGCACCTTATTTGACCGATATTCTGAGGACGCGGCAAGGATACGGAGACGAAGCCCAGCATGGGACCCTTTTATGTACATCCAGTGCGTGTTTGCTTTTTTTTTTTCTCACCTTTCGCATTGCGTGTGCTAAAGAACCGTTTACCCGCTTCATACTTCTAAGGCCGCTTTAGCATGCTCAACGTCAACAACGTAGGAAATGGATTCAGTGCTTTGAATCCATAACCCCGATTATTTTCTGCATGGCGCCATCGGAATACGGTCAACCATTGATCGAGAATCCTGCTCAGCATTGGATGACGGAGCCCTTGGCGCTGTTCAATTCTGTGACGAATCCGGGATGGTTTTTCTCAATGAGTACTATTCTTTTTTGAATACGGTGGAGAAGATTGCAGAGACAGAGTGCTGGGAATGCGAGTGGTCCGGGAAAGTTGAGCTCTTATCACAGTGGATTTTTTTGTCCCGCATTTTTTCTTTTGGTGGAACGGCTAATGATTGGTTATTTGGTTCGCCTTCTGGCCTGACCCAAGTGATACGAGAAATGGGTATACTTTTTCAATCATTCGTTTACGCCGCCATCGCCGACACCCGTTGAACGCTTCTGGTCCTTTCTCTGCTGCTCTTGGCTGCACACCGAACTGGCCTTTGCTGTGGTAGAAGGGAGGATACTGCATAATGCAGTTAAAAATGTAGACACATTGAACACGACTTGGCTCGGTTCTTCCTTCCAGGCTCTCTGGAGACAATAATCCATGCACTCCCCGCTTTTGAAGCGGGGTCTAAAGCTCAAAATGCCTGTCCACCTCTTCTTGGGCATTGTAATCCCTTTTTCTTCACGAAAGGCAGGATGCGCGTTGCGATCCGTATTCACATGTAATCCTATTGTCCGCCCCCGTCCAATCCTTTCTGCCAGGCACGGCGAATTCGGCAAGGACTCTTTTCTTTCCAAACAACCGCACCTGTCTCTTGGATGTAGAAATGTCCAGCCTAATATTAGTGGCTGGCGGGTTATGGGTTCTCTCTCCTTCCATTATATAATTCTAATTACTTCATCCCCTATGGTGACTGGTCTACCTCGCGTGCACAAGTTACCTCCACATCATTTCTTTTACACTACTCACCGTTAAACGCCACGGATTCTTCACCCTTACTCATGGCCAGGCCGCACACACATGTATCAACAGACAGTGTTCAGATCATCCCGTCTCATCCATTTGATTCCTATGTTTCTTAGTTCCGTCCTGCGTTCGGGTGAGGTGCTGGTGTTGGTGCTGGTCGTATGGGCGATGGGATTTTATTTTCTCCGGAGAGACTAGGTCGCCAACGTAGGGGAGAGAGGGAGCGGAAGCGGATATCTGGAGTTGTGTGAGGGCGAGGGTGGGCACGGGGAGGGATGAGAGAACTGGGTCTAGATTGAGTCGATTAGATGGAACTGGGGATCACTCTACATAAGATTTGAGAATTGAGGTGAGGAAAAGCACGAAAGTGGATGTGGCACCCTGTCAAGGATTCGAAGCTTACCGACGAGCGCATATTTAACTTGGATAGTAGACGCGAGGTAGTCGCCCTATGACGCTTGCCCTGACCCTCATATAACGTCCCCTAAGTATTTCTTTCGCCTGCATATGGATCTTGGCCCTCGCTCTTCATCCTGGTAACGGCAATTGAACTCATACTTATGATACTTTTCCCACTCATTCCCACTCCCGAATGCCTCCGGTTGGGCCACGGACAAGTGGAGCCAGTGTTGGCCCCACAATTAAGCGACACTATAACAGCCGGTCAAATGAGGCGCCGTGGGATGCCTACGGAGGACCTTGAATAGTTTCAGGGCACTGTCTAGGGATCGGCGCTTGATCAAAAGAAGAGAAGGGTTGTAGAGAACCACCAAAGACACATATAAAAGCTGATTCCTCTGACATAATAAGACGTTATGGTTATGAAACGCAGGCGGGACCGTGGCCCCTGCCGAAGGTTGTGTGGCACAGTATGGGTACAACCGGCGCTTACCGCCGACCCTCAGTACGAAGCCACCGCCGCAACTGGTACCTCAGTATGATGTTCCATAGATGTCCTTGCGAGTTCACGTTGAATTCGCGCATCCTCAAACACTTATGCCACTTGCAGTTCTTCTCTGTTCTTCTCTCTCAGGATACAGGACTTGATCAAGACTTGATGTCATCATCCGTCCCACTTGCCCATGCCAACCGCGCTTGTTAGAATTCGCCGCTGATATCGGATCAGATCGAGGGATTATGTCGGCCAAAAGTATTCATTATGCCCTTCCATAATTAGACGGGGGCCTCGTGGCTCTGAGCTCACACGTGTGTTTGACGCCCAAAGCTCTCCCTCTCCTCTATCCACTTGTCCACTATCGAACATGTCGGCGCAGCAAGGGGCTGAAGCTCTCAGGCATAAGATCGACGATCTGCTCGTGCAGGGGGTTGACATAGCGGTCCCGATTCTCAAGGTCGTCAATGCTACGGCTGATTGGTGTCCCCCTCTCAAGATGGCCACTGGCGGTGCACTCTCCATCCTCGATGAGGTTCAGGTTGGCAACGATTTATGTTTGGTTATGGATGGAAGTTTACACTAGTTTGGACAACGTAGAAGTTCAGAGACAACAAGAAGGAATGGGCTGATTTCGGTCAATACGTAGCCGACACCGTGATCGACGTGATTTTAGTCATGAAATCTTATGATACGTCAGCGGAGGAGGCAAACCCGTGGATGGAGAGTGCCACAAAGCTCAAAAAGTAAGCTGTATTTGTTTCTGGTGGTCTTTGCTATCGTTATGAACATCAAGTCACAGCGCTCTAGAGGTGGTTGAGTCCGAAATCAAAGGAAGACGGGAGAAAGTAGAGAAACGACCGGCCTTAATAAATGCGGTTTCGTACTTGCGAGACCCAGGAAGGATCAATAGCCTCAAGAAAGATTTTGACAAAGCATTGGCATCGTTCCAGGTAGCTTTCCTTATAGTATCGTTCCATAATCATTCTGATTTTCGGTTGATGTAGCTTCGGACGAACTTGATGACTGGTGCCAAATTAGCGGCCATGGAACGTCGTCAACAGGATGCAGAACGTCGCCAACAGGAAGATAAAATTCTCGAGAGCCTCCGATACCCTCATATCGCCCTTGGCGATTCCGCTCAGGCATGCCTAGAAGGCACTAGGGTTGATCTTGCTGAGCGTATCATGACATGGTGTCGCAACACTGGGGAGAGTGAGAATCGGCTGATGCTACTGACTGCTGTGGCCGGTGCCGGCAAGACTTCAATTGCGCTCACGATAGCAGAACGATGTGCGAACGAAGAGGACGTTACCCTGTTACTGCACTTCTTCTTTAAAGCGGGTGAACAGGCGCGGCCCGATTTCTTATTCACCGGCATAGCTCGAGCCCTAGCAGACCTTGGCCCGGTTTACCGCAGTTCCATTATCTCTGCTCTTAGAAAAGATCCTTCTCTCTCAACAGCCCCACTAGCGAAGCAATTCGGGAACTTGGTGGCTTCGCCTCTCCTTCATACACCTCCGCCTTCCGGTCATTCTATGGTCGTCATCATTGATGCTTTGGACGAGTGTGACAAAACCGCGTTTTTACCCCTTGCTGAAATCCTTAGGGAGGAGGTGCCCAGGCTACCATCTTCCATAAAATTCTTCATCACATCGAGACAATTTGATCTCGTGAATCGTTTCCTCTCCCCCAATTACCCTATCAATCGACTCACTATTGATCTCTTGGATGAGACAAACGTGCAGGACTGTGCTACATACATCAGTTTCCAGCTTCAAAAGCTGAAGAAATCGCATCCGGAGTTACGCAATAATCTTCAGAATGAGGACAAAAAAGTTCAGGAGATCTTGGAACGAGCAAATGGCTTGTTCATTTGGGTCAGCACCATCTTCCTCTACATGGAGACGACCAGCAACGATCCAATGAGAACACTGGGGCGCCTGCTCGACACTGGCACCAAACGTTCAAAGATCCCTGCCGAGGGAATGATGGATCGTTTATACACAACGATTCTGAAAAGGTGTAATTGGGAAGATGAAGATTTTGTGCACGACTACCCAATCGTGATGGGAGCAATCGTCGCTGCACAACAGCCTCTGTCGATCACTGCCTGGGATGTGATTTTGTCACCTTCCCTCAATTCTTCTGTCCGTTATGCATTGGCTGAACTCGCCCCTCTCCTCTTGGGGGTTGAGGATTCTCACATTCCGATTCGCATCTTACACCAATCATTCCGCGATTTTATTGTGGATCGGATCGATCTGCGATCCATCGACCTTGGTTGCAGTCCGGTAGATTTGAGGACAGAGAATGCCAGGATTGCCCTGCAATGTACTGAGATTTTGAACCGGGATCTTTGCTCTGTAGAGGGCCTAGGACTGATTGAAGGCTTGTCTGAAAGAGATGAAATGCCGCGTATCCCTCCGGAGCAGTTATCCGAACACTTTCGTTATGCATGCTGTCATATTGTCCATCACCTCAGTGGAGTCCAGGAACCATCAGAAGAGCTCAATCGGTCAGTTGGCATGTTTCTCAGTCAGCAAGCAACTTGCTGGGTGGAAGTCTGTGTGAGAATGGAGGGCTACATCAGTATCTCATCACTCCCTGAGTGGGTCAAGGTATGGATTGTTGATTGTGTTAATGAAACTACCTCATGATCCTCCAGTTGTCTGTTGACCACAGCTCGAAAGATGCTGTCGGCACACTGGCTATTGTGCTTGCCCGGCTTTCATCGAATTTGGTATTTTTGTCAAGATTCCAGGAGGCACATGAGGCAGCAAGTGATTCTGTTGCACTCTGCCGTTACCTTTTTTCTGTGGACTCAGTGTCCTACACCCCGCATTTGTCCCTGTCACTCAATAATCTATATTTGGCTCTGTCTACACTTGGACGGCACTTGGAGGCGCTCCCATTCATTGAAGAAAGCGTCAAACTCCGGCGTGAGCTAGTTGCCATTCACCCAGGATCATACACCCCGGATCTGGCCAGCTCACTCAACAATCTCCGTGGTGCTCTCGCCAGACTCGGACGGCACTCGGAGGCGCTCCCATTCATTGAAGAAAGCGTCAACCTATACCGTGAGCTGGTTGCCGCTCACCCAGGATCATACACCCCGGATTTGGCCAGATCACTCAACAATCTATTTAACGCTCTTTCCAATCTCGGACGGCACTCGGAGGCACTCCCATCTATCAAAGAAAGCGTCAAACTCTGGCGCGAGCTAGTTGCCATTCACCCAGCATCATACACCCTGGATCTGGCCATCTCACTTGACAATCTCTGTGGTGCTCTTTCCAATCTTGGACGGCACTCGGAGGCGCTCCCATTCACCGAAGAAAGCATCAAACTACACCGTGAGCTGGTCGCTGTTCACCCAGGGTCATACACCCCAGGTTTGGCCCTCTCACTCAACAATCTATATAATGCTCTTTCCAATCTCGGACGGCACTCGGAGGCGCTCCCATTCATTCAAGAAAGCGTCAAACTACACCGTGAGCTGGTCGCTGTTCACCCAGGATCATACACCCCAGATTTGGCCCTCTCACTCAACAATCTATTTGACGCTCTTTCCAATCTCCGACGGCACTCGGAAGCGCTCCCATTCATCGAAGAAAGCGTCAAACTCCGGCGCGAGCTAGTTGCCATTCACCCAGGATCATACACCCCAGATTTGGCCGGATCACTCAACAATCTATATAACGCTCTTTCCAATCTCGGACGGTACTCGGAGGCGCTCCCATTCATCAAAGAGAGCGTCAAACTCCAGCGCGAGCTAGTTGCCATTCACCCAGGATCATACACCCCAGATTTGGCCGGATCACTCAACAATCTATATAACGCTCTTTCCAATCTCGGACGGTACTCGGAGGCGCTCCCATTCATCAAAGAGAGCGTCAAACTCCGGCGCGAGCTAGTTGCCATTCACCCAGGATCATACACCCCGGATTTGGCCAGATCACTCAACAATCTATATAGCGCTCTTTCCAATCTCGGACGGCACTCGGAGGCGCTCCCGTTCATTGAAGAAAGCGTCAAACTCCGGCGTGAGCTAGTTGCTGCTCACCCAGGATCATACACCCCGGATTTGGCCAGATCACTCAACAATCTATTTAACGCTCTTTCCAATCTCGGACGGCACTCGGAGGCACTCCCATCCATCAAAGAAAGCGTCAAACTCCGGCGCGAGCTAGTTGCCATTCACCCAGCATCATACACCCCAGTTCTGGCCCTCTCACTCAACAATCTACATAACGCTCTTTCCAATCTCGGACAGCACTTGGAGGCACTCCCATTCATTGAAGAGTGCGTCAAACTACACCGTGAGCTGGTCGCTGTTCACCCAGGATCATACACCCCAGATTTGGCCAGATCACTCAACAATCTATATTTGGCTCTTTCCAATCTCGGACGGCACTCAGAGGCGCTCCCATTCATCGAAGAAAGTGTCAAACTCTGGCGCGAGCTAGTTGCCATTCACCCAGGATCATACACCCCAGATTTTGCCATCTCACTCGACAATCTCCGTGGTGCTCTTGCCAGACTCGGACGGCACTCGGAGGCGCTCCCATTCATCGAAGAGAGCGTCAGGCTATGCCGTGAGCTAGTTGCTGTTCACCCAGGATCATACACCCTGGATTTGGCCAGATCACTCAACAATCTATTCTTGGCTCTTTCCAATCTCGGACGACACTCGGAGGCACTCCCATTCATCGAAGAAAGCATCAAACTATACCGTGAGCTAGTTGCTGTTCACCCAGGATCATACACCCCGGATTTGGCCAGATCACTCAACAATCTATATTTGGCTCTTTCCAATCTCGGACGGCACTCGGAGGCACTCCCATTCATCGAAGAAAGCATCAAACTATACCGTGAGCTAGTTGCTGTTCACCCAGGATCATACACCCCGGATTTGGCCCTCTCACTCAACAATCTATATAACGCTCTTTCCAATCTCGGACGGCACTTGGAGGCGCTCCCATTCATTGAAGAGAGCATGAAACTACACCGTGAGCTGGTCGCTGTTCACCCAGGATCATACACCCCAGATTTGGCCAGATCACTCAACAATCTATATTTGGCTCTTTCCAATCTCGGACAGCACTCGGAGGCGCTCCCTTTCATCGAAGAAAGCGTCAAACTCCGGCGCGAGCTAGTTGCCATTCACCCAGCATCATACACCCCAGTTCTGGCCATCTCGCTCGACAACCTCGGTGGTGCTCTTGGCCAACTCGGACAGCACTCGGAGGCGCTCCCATTCATTGAAGAAAGCGTCAAACTCCGGCGCGGGCTAGTTGTCATTCACCCAGGATCATACACCCCGGATTTGGCCATCTCACTCAACAATCTATATAATGCTCTTTCCAATCTCGGACGGCACTCGGAGGCGCTCCCGTTCATTGAAGAAAGCGTCAAACTCCAGCGCGAGCTAGTTGCTGTTCACCCAGGATCATACCCCCCGGATTTGGCCATCTCCCTCACCAATCTATATGAGGCTCTTTCCAATCTCGGATGGCACTCGGAGGCGCTCCCATTCATCGAAGAAAGTGTCAAGATCCAACGCCAGCTGGTTGAAATCAACCCAGGAGCATATGCCCCGGGATTGGCCCGTTCACTCAGAAATCTACGTCAAGCTCTTTCCAATCTTGGACGTCATTCCGAGGCACAAATGGTCCACGTTTGAGCAACCCAAGTCCGGTGGTCCTCTCATTTCCCGTTGTCATTGCGTTTGCCACTTTGCCACCTGCTGATGGAGAACAAGTACTAACAAGTCCAGCCTCAATTTTTTTTATTAGATATTATTGATACAATAGTTACTGGCACTACGCTCATAACAAATCACAGTTGCAACGTATAGTTTCAATATGAAGGTTGCTCATTTCTCTTATATGTACTGGTCCAACGTTTCTGTATACCATCATAACCAACGACGTTAAAGTTCGATGGATGCTGAATGTCGATGCAATGAAAAAACCTAATCGACAGGTCCACATTGTCCGATGTATTGGTGTGGAGGTCGAAAACTGGTGAAGCATCACTGTAAGAGACACAACAAGCTTCGAACCACTGTCCCAATAAGCAGTACACATTCCTGTTGCCATTGCGTTTGAGGAGAGTAGCAAGTCCGGTGTGTGTGAGATCGATTGGTTCTGATGACATCAAAAGTGGCGGGCTTGAGCATGTCGGACGGCTTGGCAGTCTCGCCACATTCCCGACACCGCAGCTCATAAGCATGTCCATGAAGAAAGTCCTGGCCAGCCTGTGTCTCATACTACGCAACTCGGAGAAATGCTTACCCATGTAGCCAGTGTCTGCAGGGGCAGAATCCCAGTCAACAGAGTCACATAAGTATGCGGGCCAGCATAAATGGAGAGCACACTTAGTATACGCGCAGCAAATGAAGAGTAGATCAGTTAGCCTTCGGTGTTTGACATCGATTTATTGACTTACGCTGTCACTACTGACGTCGGTATCTCGACTATCGACACGCTTGTGCGCTGAATAGTGGCGAGTATTCTGAGCGGGTTGCTTGTTTCAACATCAACCTCTGTATCATATGTTGACTCATTTGGCTGTCTAACAAGCCCGGGGTACAGCAACTACAGCATTTACCGACGCAGACGGGGCCCGATCCTTTTGCACTGATAGGATACAAATGTATTCATCATGTGCGTGCAATTGTGTCAAATGGCCGCGGATATTAACTCCCGGTGGGTGTGCAGTCAATTAATCGGTTCCATGGTATGTTAGCGACCCAGGACTCCAGCGACAATCTTGTAGCATGCATGAGCGCTTGCTCACATTATATCGATTGGAGCTTGTGCGAAATTAGAAGTTGTGTAGATGGCCGTTGAATGCTATCATTTGGTGTCGTTCGGCACCGTGTTTCCATTGCGTTTGGTTTGCCATGATATAGTTGTGGCATCCGAGTCCGGGGAAGTGGAGTCACCCACGTCACGCGGTGTCTGAGCGGTTGTCGAAATAAAGATGAGACCACGGCGTGGTCGATTGTGGTCGCTATGGTTGATCACTTTGTGATTATGCGGAAGTGAGGACAATGTGATTATGAGAATTAGGTTTCTAGAGCGAATGTTGACACGATAACAAACCTGAACGCGGTCCCCATTCCATTCTTGGGAGTTTGAACCGGGAGCCACACCATCGGCAAGTGTGGGCCGCGTACAGGCAGAGGCGTTGTACTGGCATGCGAGTCACGACGCCGCACTCCGCCTAGAAACTGCAGGAGAGCTTACTCATCGTATAGTGCCCCACATTGCATGATGTAATGGCTGGAACGATCAGCCACATTGGTATGACATGAATTCCTCATCTAATTACTCCCGAACGTTATGACGTGGTGCTATTCCTGAGGTTAGACTCGATAGACCACCAATATATGGGATCCTTGTCCCTGATCCGCCTTGTGCATTGTGATTGAGTGCACAGGGCGCAGCCGAGAAAATGTGACGATCCCGTCACCAGCCGTCCTGAGTGGTTGGAATTGGAGTTGGCCAAGCTTGATCGAGGCAAAAGTTGTATCGTCGAACTTACATAAAGTGACTCAATGCACCTTTTTAGTCACACACCCAGTCAGTCCACGTGACACCACCTCGACAAGAGAGGGTTAACGTCGTCTTGTTAAAAAGACACACACACACACCCTCCTATACTCCCCGCTAACCACCAACTTACCCCCCAACCGCCACCATGGCCGAACATCAAAACTCGGACCTAGGAGGACAACCCGTTACCAACAATCCACAGACCCACTCGACCCCCGGATGGACAGACCTGTATACTCTCCAGACGTCCTTACACGGCCCAATGGATGAAGAAATGCAGGCCACCCCCTTGTGGCACAGAGCAGACCTCACAGACGACGACCACGGCTGCATCGACAACGTCACCGAAAGCATGAAAGACACCCTCGACAGACTGATGGAAGCCAGAAAAATGGGCCTATGGCGCCACTTACACTATCTTAAAAGCTGGATGAACACGCTATCGGAATTAGACACCGATAACAAAAAGCCAGACACCGCTGAGTCCCAATCTGACAATTTTAACACGGTCAACGCCAAACTCACAGAACTGACCGAAAGGATTCAGTGTCTAGAAATAGGCCATACCGTACAGTATACCCCCCCACACAGAGACCCAGTGACCGTCGCTGCCCCCATGTCAACCCCCAACACAACTTGGGCACACGTGGCGGCTAAGACCCCACCACCACCCAGATCGAATACGTCCTCGGCTGCCAACCGGCTCAACGCACCGTCGAATGACACCAGCAACGGTCCCGCAGCCGACCCGAGATGCCTCGTCATCCAAGTGAGACCTCCGATCAAACCAGATGACCAGCCGAATGGCATCGAAACGAGAAAGAAGATCAACGACATTCTGGAAAAGAAAAACGCACCCCACTATCTAAGAGTAATGGCTGTAGGATACTCGTTAGCGGGAAACATCAAGATAACTACTGCCCCGACGTGCAAAGCCTCGGACCTCATCGCCTATGGCCATGAGATGGCAGCTGCCATCACCCAACACGAAGTAATCTCGGCCCTACCCGACCAGGAGCACTACCGCGTAAAGATCAACAAGATTCCCGCCCACAGCAACAACGAACCGATAACACCCGGAATGGTCCACGAAGAACTGCGCACCTACGTACCACAGTACAAAGACCTGAAGTACTGGAGACCACCAAAGTGGCTCGGTACAGAGGAAACAATTCGCGCTAAGAACTTTGCATCCATCGTAGTTGACCTTTCTAACAAAAAAGACAGGGATACGTTGCTGAGTCTGAAGTCGGTCTTCCTTTTTAACACCAGGTGCACAATCACACCCTACGAGGACCGTGTACAGGTATATGCATGCAGCAAGTGCGGTATGCTTGCCCACCGCACGGCCAACTGCAACCAGACAAGGTGCCTGAAATGCGGCGCGAAAGACCACAAAACCGAGTCTCACCCCGAGAATGCCGAACACCACTGCATCAATTGCAAAGGGGAACACGAAAGTTCACACAAGGACTGCAGAGCCAGGAGAGGCCGCATGGGACTACCCCTAGCGCCGAAAAACACGCCAACGCCAAAACACACCCTGCCAACTGAACAACCGGCAAAGAAAAAAGGGAAAGGTAAGCAAAAAACAGTCCCTGCCCAAACCACACCAGACGACCCCCCAGACTTTGGTCTCTCGGACCAAGACCTGAGCAAAATACTGAGTCAACAGCAACCGCCCGAGGCCCTAAAGGCCTCGGCCGCCAAAATGATCAGTGCAAGAGCCAGGGGGGGAGTAGCTCCAATCCCACCAATAAAGATCCCCCGCGCGAAACCAAAACCAACCGATGATAGTATGGTAATCGAACCGTTGAGCCAACTCCAAGGGCAAACTCAATGAATCGACAAACCAAAATAGCAACCACACTGACGGTGTGCAGTCTAAACGTCAACCACTCAAATGCGGCCACACAAGCCGCAATGCACAACATAGCTAACCGCAATAAACCAGCCATCGACATCTTCTTAGTCCAGGAGCCCTGGTGGCACAAAGTGAACAACACTTACATTTCAGTCGCCCTCAAGGGGTGGCAAACCATACTACCCAAACAACCTATCGCTGAAGGCGACAGACCCAGAACAATAGCGTACTACCGGAAGGACACTAACATAGAACTAACTTTGAGGAACGACATAGCATCAGACCTCGACTACATGGTACTAGATGTAAAAAGGAACGGCTCTACGCAACAACCAGTTAGACTCATAAATATTTACAACCAAAAAACGCTCGCAGCAAATCAGAGAAAAGAATACACGGTGGAAAGACTGGCAGAGACCACGTTGGACATGGACATTCCAACCATCCTCACGGGTGACTGGAATATCCGCCATCCAGACTGGGACGACCGGATCGAAACACCGTGCCAAAGAACCTTGGAAACTATTGAATGGCTCGAAGGGGGCGCGTTCACCCTATGCAATGAACCATTTGTACCAACACGGGAAGACAACAGCGGCCACACATCAGTCATTGACCTTACCTTTTCCAATGCCGCAGCCAACGGAGCTGGGGCCATCTCCGGTCACTATATTGACACGGAAATTGGTTGTCTATCGGACCACCATGCCACGATCTTCCAACTGGGCCCACCCAGAGAACAGGTCATAAACCCATGTGAAACCAAACTAAACTGGAAACACGCCAGTAAAGAAGAGTTCACGAAGGCACTCACAGAAGAGTTAGCCCACAATGCCCAAAAGATCGAAAGCCTGAAGGGTGAACTACTCAATGCAGACCAACGCACAGCGTCACCCAAATCACTAGAGGAAGCCACTGCCCTGATCCACAAAATGGTGGAAAAAGCAGCTGAAAGATCCGTACCTCACAGATGCCCAAGCAAGGCATCTAAACCATGGTGGAATGAGGACCTATCTAAGTCATACCGCGAACTGAGACAGACGAGAGAATCCCTAAAAGGTTGGGTGAAAGACTTCAACCGCCCATCACTATACCTTGCGGAAAAAGTAAAACACCTACACAAGGACATCCGCACCCGGATCAGGAAAGCCAAACAGACTCACTACCGCAAACTCACAGAGGAAGCCAATCACGGCAACCTGTGGGACTTCCGCAAGTGGACAAAAAGCCAAAGAACATACATTTCACCCCCCATCCTAAACAGAACAGACCAACTCGCAGTCAGCCATAAAGAAAAATGTAACATACTCCGTGAAAACCTCTTCCCCCAACCACCATCACTACCACACTCCCCAAATATCAACCTGACCCCGCGCAATGACGACATGGAATATGTAAGCGTGACGAAGGGCGAAGTCCGCGACTCCATATTCACTGCTGCCCAACTAAACGCTCCAGGCATCTCAGGCCTGACGGGCCGTGCATGGAGATGGGCCTGGGACGTAATGGAAGATGAAATCTTCCACCTACTGAGACTCTGC